TTTAATTCTTTTCCTGGAGTTTTGTTCTTTTCTTTCATTTGGGACGTTTCTTTGTCTCCTCATTTTGGCTGCTTCTCTGTGTTTGTTTCTATGTGTTAGGTAGAGCTGCTATGTCTCCTAGGCTTTGTAGGGTGGACTATTGTTGTAGGTGTTCTGTAGGATCCAGTTCCTGATCACCCCAGGTGGGCCCTCAAAGTGCAACTCTAGTGTGGACTGTACACCCTTCTGTTGTAATTGAGTCTTGATTGTTGTTGGCACGTCAATGGGATGGATTTACTCCGGCTGATCAGCTGCAAGGAATGGTTGTGCCCACTGACCACTGGCCTATGACTACCTTGGAGGATCAGCTGTGTAGGGGCCCACCACACAAAGCAAGACTTACTTCAACAGGGTTCTGCTACCCACTGAGTCCATTCCTTGAATGTGTCACTTTTGGAGGTGGTTGGGTGGTGGCGTTTCGATGTGGTCTGAAGCTATCCACTGGGTGTGCTGGCTCTGGGGCAAGGTCAGCCTCTGCCTGCGTTCTATTCGCGGCCACCTGGCATAAGCTACAGAGTGATCTGAAGATGGATGCTTCTTGTGCTGTGCTTGGAGGTGCCCAGGAAAAGCCAAGTTGTGAGCCAAGGCTGGTTACTTCTAGTGCCAGGCCTGGGGCCACTTAATGAGAGGTATGGGGCTCACTGAGACCAGATGCTGCTTGTTTGAGAGATTTTAGGAAACTCTCTTGGATGCAGGATCCAAGACAGGCCTATCCTATGGTAAAGCCTTTGGAAACAGATTGGGTGGGCCAAAGATGGATTGATGGTTGCCTAAAGCTAGGAGAGTGGAGAGGTAATGGGCAGTGACTGCTAATGGGTGTTGGTTTCTTTGGTGGGAGGGTGGTGAAAAGTTCTAAAATTACATTGTGGCAGTGATGGAACAATTCCATGAATATACAAAAAACATTGAATTATACACTTTGAATGGGTCGATTGCATCATGTGTCAATTATAGCTCAATACTTTTAAGTTTATGTTTTACTGTTCATATTATTACAGGTGCCCCCTATGATGTTGCTTTTTAAAGAACCAGAAATGAATTATTAGTTACATTCTTGCTGTCACTTGGTGTTTACATGGTTGAGTCATGACTTAAAATCCATCGTGTCCAACATGACTGACAGTCTGTACCTCAGGGGAACACTGGGGATGAATGAAATAGAAACAGAAGACAGACTTAGTAAGGATGGTCAGTATGGTTGACCTGGGGGTGTGGTGTCAAGAAGAGACACTCCAGGATTGGAGGTGATCACCCGACACCTCTAATTAGCTAGATGAAACATGGCATTGATTTAGCTTCTTTGGGCTCGTTCCTCACCAGCAAACTAGTGAAATAAATAGTATCAGCTTCATGAAGTTACCATGAGGATTCAATGCATTAGCCATTGCTGACCACCCAGAACAGTAGCTGACATAATGCAATTTTCAGGCCCTGGCCAGGTAGCTCAGTTGGTGGAAGCATCACCCCGATGCACCAAGGTTGCAGGTTCAATCCCCAGTCAGGACACCTACCAGAAATGACCGATGAAGGCATAAATATGTAGGACAATAAATTGATCTCTCTCTCTCTCTCTCTCTCTCTCTCTCTCTCTCTCAAATTAATTTTTTTTTTTAAAGAAAACAATTTTCAAGTCTGGTTAACACAACATGCCTCTAAAGATGGTTCTATCTTCAGATTTAACACTCTGTTGAATTTAACACTGTTCCACTCTGAGTGGCCTCCTACACCCAAAGTCTACGTTGGTGAGTTCTGGAGCAATAAAAGGGGGGAAGGAGGAAATAATCACTTATTATATGCTCTCCCCATTTCCACACCAACATTAAAGACTTACTATAAAGCCAAAATGAGGCAGTGTGGTGTTGGCAAAAGACTAGACAAACGAAGGAAAGAGAATAAAGACGTCAGCAACCCACTTGAATGTGGTCAACTGGCCTTTGACAAAGAAGCACACGCAACGGAGCAAAGATAGTCTTTTTTTCTTTTCAACAAATGGTTCTTGAACAACTAAACATCCACCTACAAAAAATAATAAGAATACTCTAGACATGGACCTTACACCCTTCACAAAAATGGACTCAACATGGATCACAGAGCTACGTTTGAAATGCAAACTTGAAATCTCCTAGAAGAGAGAAGAATATGCTCACCATTCCAGAGTATCCATTTTCCTGCTGCTAGTCAGTTTCTCCCCAAAGGACAACTAGCTCTCTCCTGAGTCAAAGACTCACTCACTAGTAACCTTACCTTCATGCTATGGATGAAGCTCGGGTTTAAAAAGATGAGAGATGGAGATATTTCATGAAGGAGGATGAAGACAAGATGCTCTGTTGATCCAGAGACATCTTTCTCATCTATAGGTGAGCTTGCCCTATCATCTCCTTCAAAATAGCCACCCTGGCCTCCCTCCCCCATGTTTTAGTATCTACATGTTTCCACAGGCCAAGTGTGATTAAAACCCATAGCACACAGCCCACTTTCTCACAAACATAAGCTGTGTTCTCTCTATGTCTATGTGGTCAACCTGGAAACTCTGATGGGTGGCCCTGAGTTCTCACCCATTATTTCCTGTGCACCCGTCAAGGCTAAGGTCTCCGAATCATGCAAAACTGAAAGTTAGCTTGAAACACTTCACTTTATTCTTGATTAGCCCTGTCCTGGAAAACCCCCAGAATAAAAGGACAAGACATTAGCCATCCAACAGGTGAATCTGTACCCAGCGAGAACAGAATTTCTAATTCTAGGTCAACATCTGCCTAGGAGGGGAGTTTTTTGTTAGTTTTGGTTTGCTTTTTTTGGTTTGGGTTTGTTTGTTTTTGATAATCCTCACTAGAGGATTTTTTTTTCCTTTGAAATTGAGAGAGAGAGACAGACAGAAAGAGAGAGACATTGATGTGAGCGAGACACAGCGATTGGTTGCCTCCCATAGGTGCCCCAGCCAGGGCCAGGGATCAAACCTGCAACCCAGGGACATGCCCTTGACCAGGAATACAGCCCAAGACCCTTTGGTGTGCAGGCCAATGCTCTAACCACTGAACCACACCGGCCAGGGCTGCCTGGGAGTTTGACATCCAAGCTCTGATTTCAATCAATAATGAGTATTTCACTTCCCCCCACACACCAAGGTAGCTTCTGAGCAAGATGTCTATACACATAGGAATGACATATTATAAGAACATCGAAGTAGAGACTGTCTAGACAGACAGAAGAGATGCACATTGGCTGGAGAAGAAAAACGCTGAAATTTGGAGCTGAGGATTGAAGACCACAGAAAATAATGGAATGGAAGGCTGTGATGTGTAAGAACATGGATTAACCTGGGGGACATGATGCTGAGTGAAATAAGCCAGACACACAAGGACTGATATTACTTGTATAAGGATGAAACTGTTCTATATTTTTTTCAGTTACAGTTTACGTTCAATATTATTTGGTATGAGTTTTAGGTGGACAGCACAGTGGTTAGACTGGCATACACTTTGCAAAGTGGGCCCCTTGATATTCCCACTGCCCACCTGACACCATACCTACTTATCACAATATTATTGACTGTATTCTCTATGCTGTACCTGACATTCCCAAGACTATTTTGTAACTGCCTATCTGAAATGGTTCTATATTTTCATTGAGGTGCTTTTATCAAAACCCATAGAACTAAACATCAAGAAAGTGACTTTTACTGTATAAGAATGTGAGTGGGAAAATAGTCAACAACACTAAGAAGTAAGAACAGCCCTGGAGGGTTTGGCTCAGTGGTGAAAGTGTCAGCCCGTGAAACAAGAGTCATGGGTTGAATTCTGGTCAAGGGCATGTACCTGGATTGCAGTCTAGCCCCTGGCCCTGGTCGGGTCATGCGGGAGGCAACTAGTTAGTGTGTGTCTCTCTCATATCCATGTCTCTCTCTCTCTTTCTCTCTCTCTCTCTCTCCACCCTCCCTTCTTCCCTCCCTCCCTCCCACTTTCTCTGAAGATAAACTGAAAAAAATATATCCTCGGGTGAGGATATTGAAAAAGAAAAAAGTAAGAACAGCTTTGGCTCAGCAGTTGGAGCGTCTGTCCCTGGACCAAAGGGTCACAGGTTTGATTCCTGGTCAGGGGCACGTACCCTGGGTTGCAGGTTCCATCCCTGTTCCCAGTTGAGGTCATAAAGGAGGCAACCAATCGGTATGTCTCTTTAGTGTCAACGTTTCTCTCTCTCTCTCTCTCTCTCTCTCTCCCCCTCCCTCCCTCCCTCCATACCCCCCTTCCACTCTATCTAAAAATCAATAAAAAAGTACCCTAGGCTGAGGAATGAAAAATAAAATAAAATAATAAAATGATTCTAGCCCTGGCCAGGTAGCTCAGTTGTCTAGAGCACTGACCCAATATGGTTCAATCCCCAGTCAAGGCACTTGCAAGAATCAACCAATGAATGCATCAATAAGTGGAACAACAAATCTCTCTCTCTCTCTCTCTCTCTCTCTCAATTTAAAAGATTATTCTAACCTTGACTGGTTTGACTCAGCAGTTAGAGCATTGTCCTATGGACCAAAGAGGTCATGTGGGAGGCACAGTCAGTGTGTGTCTCTCTCACATTGATGTTTCTCTCCCTCTCTCTCTCCCTCCCTCCCTCTGTCTCTCCCTCCCTCCCTCCCTTCCTCCCTCCCTCCCTCCCTTCCACTTTATCTGAAGATAAATGGAAAAACATATATATCCTCAGGTCAAGATTTTTTCTAAAAAATGATTCTAAGGTTTTTGCTCAAACACTGCCCGATGTCTCCCCTGAGCATAATGTCCACATTTCGAAATGTAGACGTTGACCCAGAAAATAGTTTCAGGCAGAGCAGACAATTGTCGGAGGATCTGGTTAGGCCTCGGACACGACCAGAGGTATCACGAGGGCCACACCCTCTGCTCGCGCCACATGGTCAGAGGTAGGGGAAGAGCTGTGACCCTTCTGGTAAGCCAGTGGCTGTGAATGCACCATGGTGATGGGTGCCGGACCTCACCTACCACATCCTGTGCATCTGCCTGGCCTGCTGGGTGCCGTCTCCACCCAGCCGATCCACATTCACCCAGTCAGCTCAGCTATGCCTTCTCCACTCACCGCCCTGCTCTGCCTCGGTGAGTTCCCTTGTGCAGGGGAGATGGAAACCAGGGTCCGGGTGCAGCCAGCCCCCTGTGTTATTATTCCTGTCTTCCAGGTCTGTGTCTGAGCCAGAGGGTCAGCGCCCAGAAGCGTGAGTCCTTTATTCAAAGCCTCAGTGTCACTGTTCTGGGTTCAGACTGGGCCTAAGGTCCACATTTCAAAGTGTAGACGTTGACCCAGAAATGAGTCGCAGGTGGGGCGGATGGTTGTCTCCACCTGGCTTGCTGGGCAGGCTTGAGGCTGGCCGCTGGGTGGAACCGGGGGTGGGGATGGGGTGGGAATGGGCTTTGTCTGGAACTCCAGTCTCTGATTCCCTCCCAGAGAGCCTCTCCAAGCCTGTCATCTGGGCCAAACCCAATTTCATGATCCCAAACGGAATGCCGGTAATGATCTGGTGCCAGGGAACCGGCACGGCCGTCGAGTACCAACTGTATTTTGAGAAACAACTTTCTGACTGGAAGAAACCGGACCCACCTGGGCAGATGAGCAAAGTAAACTTCTTCATCCAGACCATGAGCTTACAGACTGCAGGGCAGTACCGGTGCCTCTACCGAATTGGGGAGCACTGGTCAGAGCCAAGTGACCCCCTGGAACTGGTGGTAACAGGTAACTGTCCCATTCTGTAGCTAGCGTCATCTCCGCAGCCTGAATCCTGGGGAGAATCTCCACCGATTAACCTCCTTTAGTCTTCCCCCGATCTCACACAGATACTGTTTTTCTTGGGAGAGGGGCGATGATCAATTCCTACAGGGGTTCTCTATTGAGGGTTATCTCTACGTCCTAGGATCAGATCTGGCTTGGGTCAAATCCTTCTGGTAAGAGGCTCTGAGATGGATGTTTGTGTGCACCACCTGTGATGGATGAACAAAGAACAGGCTGGGGGAGGGGGGGGTTGTGAGACTGTGATACTTCATCTGAACCCGGCCAAGTATGTGTGGGGCTCAGGACCTGAGACGGCCCTTCCCAGTCATCTCAGAATGATGCTAGGGGTTCCGCCAGATACCCCCACCCTTGGGCACTTGTGTTTTTCGCAGGAGAAGACAGACCTTGAGTCAAAGTCAGGATCCGTAAATCAGTTAGGCAGCTCATGAGGAGAAACCGCGGCAAGGAAGGAGACCAAGCAGAACTTCGTAAATGTGATTGGGAAGGAGCGTAATCTGGGGTGTACTTCAGCCGAGGGGTGTTCTCAGACGCAGGCAAAGAGAGAATCGCTTGGCTTTTGCCGTGGCTGGTTTCGCTCAGCGGTTGGAGCATCAGCCCACAGACCAAAGAGTTCCAGGTTGGATTCTGGTCAAGGGCATGTACCTCGGTTGCAGTTCATTCCTGGCCCTGGTTGAGGTCAGGCAGGAGGCAACCAATTGAGGTGTCTCTCTCACATCGATGTTTCTCTCTCTCTCTTTCTCAACCGCCTCCCATCCCCCGCCACTCTGTCAGTAGATAAATGGAAAAATATCCTCGGGTGAGGATTTAAACACACACACGCGCACACACACACACAGCTTTAGTACACCCATGTTCATGGAAGCCTGGCTCACCATCGCCAAAAGACAGAAACAACCCATGTGTCTATCAGCAAATGAAGGGATAAACTAAGCAGGATCGATCCACACAGCGCAATGTTATTCAGACTTAGAAGGGAAGAAAATTCTGACACGGGAACAAACCTTTAGTGAAATAAGTCTGTCACGAAAGGACAAGACTTTATGGTTCCACTTACCTGAGGTACCTAGAATAGTCCAAGTCATCGAGACAGAAAGTAGGATAGGAGTTAGGGGCGGTGCCAGGCTAAGGGGAAGGGAAATTGAAACTGATGGTGTAACAGGGACAGAGTTTCCGTTTTGCAAAATGGAAAGAGTTCTGTGGATGATGGTGGTACAACCACGGGAATGTGCTTCATATCCCGAAACTGTACTTTAAAATGGTTGAGATGGTACATTTTGAGATGTACAGGTACTTTACAGCAATTAAAAATAATTATTTATGTATTTATTTATTTATGTTACAACATAGATGTCCGTCCAACTCCTGAGTCCCTGATACATGGGTCTGGGGCAGAGCCTGAGAATTTGAGGATATTTTTACATTTATCTTCAGACAGAGAGGAAGGGAGAGAGAGAGAGAGAGAAACATTGACATGAGGGAGACACATGGATTTGTTGCCACCCACACGACCCAACCAGGGCCGGAGACAAACTGCAACCGAGGTACGTGCCCTTGGCTGGAATCAAACCCACGACTCTGTGGTCCGCAGGCCAACACCTAACTGCTGAGCCAAAACAGCCAGAGTGAGAATTTGAATTTCTAAAACGCTTCCAGGTGGCGCCGATGTTACTGGTCCCAAGGACCAAACTGAGAACCACGGTGTAGGGTGATTCCCAGAGAGAGACTTGTATTAACATCCCTGAGAGATGCAGAAGTGTCTCCGTGCTGAAGGGCAAGATCTTGGAGAGTACATCCATGACCAAGACAAATTTAGAAAACAGCCCTGGCCTGTTTGGCTCAGCTGTTAGAGCGTCGGCCTGCCGTCCACTGAGACCTGGGTTCGGTTCCCGCTAAGGGCATGTACATCGGTTGCAGTTTGTCCCCGGCCCTGGTTGGGTCATGCGGGTGGCAGCCACTCGAAGTGTCCCTTCCACGTCGATGTTTCTCTCTCTCTCTCTCCCTCTCTCTCTCTCTCTCTCTCTCTCTCTCTCTTCTCCCACTCTATCTGAACAAAAAAATAATAATTTAGGAAACAGAAGACACTGAGCTTCTAGGAGTGACTCCCGGTCTTAAAGACAAGGGGGTGAGAGGTATAGGAGGCAGGATAAAGATGCTCATTACTGTCCGGCTGGTGTGGCTCAGTGGATTGAGTGTCAGCCCACGAACGGAGAGGTCCTGGTTTGATTCCCAGTCAGGGGGCGTGCAGGAGACTGCCAATCAATGTTTCTCTCTCACATGAATGTTTCTATCTCTCTCTCTCCTTTCCTCTCTCTAAATAATCGATAAAACATTTTTTTTAATGCTGTTCACCTGCCAACAACCTTCTCTCGCAGGGATGTATGACACACCTACCCTCAGGATTCACCCTGGGCCTGAGGTGATCCCAGGGGAAAACGTGACTTTCTACTGCGATCTGGAGACAGCCACAAAGACGTTCTTTCTGCTCAAGGAGGGACCATCCAACCACCCACAGCACAGATCTGGGAAAACGCCGGCCGAGTTCCTCATGGGCCCTGTGACGACAGCGCACAGAGGGACATACATTTGTTTCGGTTCTTATAGCAACTGTGTATGGTCTTTCCCCAGTGAGCCTGTGACGCTCCTGGTCACAGGTAAAGAACCCTCTCATTTCTCCTCGTGCCCTCTCTGGAACCCCAAGTGAACCCCAAATAATGAAGGATAAGTGGAAAGATGTAGAGACAGCAGGTCCCTCCCACCATCATCTCAAGCACTTCGTTCCCATTGATTGCTCATGAGGAAGAACACCAGATGAATAGGGAGGGACGCGCACAGAGAATAGGTGGGAAGACCAAAGGAAACCCAAAACCCTTACTTTTTGTCCCTGTCTCCATTGTCAGGAGCTGCCGGGGTCGCCAACCCTGCACCCACAGAACAGCCCTCTTCTTCTGGTGAGTAACAGTTACTCCTGAACTTGGGGAGGGAATCAAAGCCCCCCAAGACCATCACCTACAGCCGCATCGGTCAACCCCACAGATACCCTTGCCCTCGCGACACCTGTATTCTGGCAGGAGAAGACAGACCATGAATCAAGGTCAAGATACATAGATCAATTAGGTAACTTGAGAGGAGGAATTGGTAATATAAAAAAAGACAAAGCAGCTGCATAGTACTCCATTGTGTACATGTACCACAGCTTTTTTATCCACTCATCTACTGATGGACACTTGGGCTGTTTCCAGATCTTAGGTATTGTAAATAGTGCTGCTATGAACATAGGGGCGCATATATTCTTTCTGATTGGTGTTTCAGGTTTCTTAGGGTATACTCCTAGAAGTGGGATCACTGGGTCAAAGGGCAGCTCAATTTTTAACTTTTTGAGGTAACACCAAAGGGTTTTCCACAGTGGCTGCACCAGTCTGCATTCCCACCAGCAGTGCACTAGAGTCTTATCCTTTGAGGCGACATGGAGGGACCTAGAGGGTATCATGCTAAGCGAAACAAGCCAAGCAGAGAAAGACAAATATCCCATGATCTCACTTATTGGTGGAATATAATGAACTAAACAAACTGCTCAACCAAATAGACCCAGAGACATAGAGGTGGGGTACAGACTGGCAAGCCTCAGAGGAGAGGGGTTTGGTGGGGGAAGAAATCAACCACAGAACTTACATGCATGTACGCATGACCAATAAACATAGACCACAAAGCTGGGGACGGGAAAGGGGGGAGAAGGAAAGAGGGTGTCAATGGGGGGAAAATGAGAAACATCTGTAACAAAAACAAATTCATAAATAAAACATTAATTCATTTTTAAAAATAAAATTAATTAATTGATTTTAAAAAGACAAAGCAAGACAGTCGGCGTGAAGGTGGTCGGGAGGGCAGGTAGCAATATTCGGCAGCATGGCCTCGGTTGTCCTCACCGAGAAGGAAGCATCCCAGGAAACACTGTGACCACCTGGACAAAGAAGGTTCCAGAGAGAGCAGGTGGCCACGGCATGCGCCCTAAGGAGGCCAGTGGGTCTGGAAATGTCAAATTGGGGATGCGGCGAGGCCCAGGCAGCTCATGTAAGACCTTGAAGACCAGGGCAAGCCTAGATTTTACTATGTGTGAGGAAGAAGATACGACGTCGATTAACTTAATGAGGGAACGGAGGCTCAGAGAGAAGACTGGCATGAAGGCACATGCCTGTTCGTCCTAGAGCTGAATTCCTCCCCGAGTCCACCTGCTTTTTAACTCTTCCTCAGCCAGATGAAGCCACTAGGACCCGGAGGGTGAGGTGGGGACCTTGAAAAGCAGCCAAATGCCATGGGGTGTGTCCAAGAGAAAGAGCTGCTGGTGGAAATGGTTGACATCCTCTCTTTCCTTCACTTATCCACTTTTTTTTATCACCTGCAGACTCTTGGAAGCCCCACATGTTGACCACCAAGAGGGGTTTCCATAAAGGTAAGCAAGACGCTGAGGGGGTGTCGACGCTGAAGAACGAAGTTGGCAAAGGAGTACGACCTGGGAGAGAGAGGGCATGAGCTGGTATTCCTGTGTTCCCGCCGGTGATGCTTGTTCTTGTGCTCCCAGATCTCGCCTTGTGGGATCACACCTCCGAGAACCTCTTTCGGATGGGTCTGGCTTTCCTGGTCCTGGTGGCCCTCGTGTGCCTCCTGGCCGAAGACAGACTTTCTAGGAAGAAGACGGAAGAGCAAGTGAACCGGGCTTCCGGTCAAGAACGCAGGATGGCGTTCAGAACCCTGAATGGGTGACCAAGAGATCTGGTGGCCGTAGGTAACCCTGAAAGCTGATCGTAACCTTGGGTTGTGGGTTCAACAGAAAGCAAGGAACAATGGCGTGGCGTTGGATGAACCATCCTGAAGAAGGAGGGTGAAGATGCTAACTTTTGTTGTCAGGCAAATCCCACTGTCTCTTCTAAGGTCTAAGTATAATTTTGTCGACATTGAATGTGTTGGGGTGACATTGGTTAATAAATTACGTAGGTTTCAGGGGTACAGTGCTATCACACATCATCTGGGTATTGTAGTGTGTGTTCATCACCCCAAGTCAAATCTTCTTCCATCACCACTGATCCCCCTTCACCCCCTTCTACCTCCCCCTGCCCCCTTTTCCCTCTGGTAATCACCATACTGTTGTCTATGAGGTGTTTTTTTGTGGTTTGGTTTTGTTTCTTTTAATCTTCACCCAAGGACACTTTTCTATTTATCTTCAGAGAGGGATGGAGAGACACAGTGTGAGAAACACCAACATGAGAGAGATGTATCGACCGGTTGCCTCCCACGCAACCCCAACCAGGGCTGGGGACTAACCCCAACCAAGATACATGCCCTTGACCGGAATCTAACCCTTGGCTCTTTGGTGCGAGGGCCGACACTAACTGCTGAGCCAAACCGACCAGGGTGTTCTGTTTTTTCACTTAATCTCTTTACCTTTTTCGCCCAGCCCAGAAGCCATCCTCCTTCTGACTATATTCAGTGGTCTCACAGAATTCACGTTTTAATTTGAACAGTTTTAGGCTCTTTTTAGTTCAAACACTTTAAGAGTTGTTGTTGTTTTTTTCCTAAAATTGATTTATCAGAGTCCTATTCATTAGAACCTCCAGTCTATTATTAAGTGGGAGTAATGATAGCAGGTGGCCTTTTCTTACCACCAATGTTGAAGGGAGTATTTTTAGGATCTTACCATTGTGTAAGCTAATTGTTATGATGTTTTGTAGATACTGTCCCCATTGGAAAATTCCTTTGTAATCTTCTCTTGCTAGGCTTATTTCTATTTCTTGTTGTTGTTGTTGTTAATCCTCATCCAAGGATATTTTTCCCATTGATTTTTAGAAAGAGTAGAAGGGAGGGAGAGAGAGAAACATCAATGTGAGAAAGACACACCAAGCCCTGGCCGGTTTGGCTCAGCGGTTAGAGCGTCGGCCTGCGGTCCTGAGAGACCCGGGTTCGGTTCCCGCTAGGCACACGTACCTCGGTTGCAGTTTGTCCCTGGCCCTGGTTGGGTCGTGTGGGTGGCAACCACTCGACGTGTCCCTTTCACGTCGATGTTTCTCTCTCTGTCTCTCCCTCCCACACTCTATCTGAACAAAAAAAAAAAAATAGAAAAAATGTCCTCGGGTGAGAATAAAAAAAGAAAAAAAAAGAAAGACACATCAATTGGTTGCCTCCCACATGTGCCCCAACCGAAGCTGGGGTTTGAACCAGGCACGTGCCCTTGACCAGGAGGCAACCCCATGACCCTTAGGTGCATGGGTTGATGCTTTAACCACTGAGCCACACTGGCCAGAGCAGCTTATTCCTATTTGAAGATAAGAAGGAACATATCCAGTGAGACCAGTTAGGAGGCTTCTGTATTGTTCTAGGTGGAAGTTGCTCACTACTCAGAGGAGGTGGGAACCCGTCACATATTTTAGGCACAGAAGCCAGACTTCATTTTATGGTTTAGAAGTGATGACTGAGCCTGTGGCAGAGTCCCAAACAACTCTGAAGTTTGTAATCTGGGCAACAGCATGGATGGAAGGGACATTTTCCCCTCTAATTCCCACCCATCGGTGTTGCTACTGTAAATGAACCCTGAGCGCTGTGGTAAGAAGAAGATATTTGGGGGCAGAGTTCGGAGATGCCAATTAGCAACTCATCTTCCCAAAGTGAAATATTTTCCATTGAAATATAATTGGAAATATAATATAACTATAATTGCAACATTGTGTACGTTTAAGGGGTGCAGCGTGTTTACTTGATACATTTCTAGTTTGCAATATGATTGCCACGGTGACATTCAGTAACACCTGTATGGGGTCACATAATTATTTCTTTTTTTGTGGTGGGAATAATTAAGACCTAGTTCCTTCGAATAATACAATATTGCTGTCTATCGTCACTGTACTGTGCTTTCTCTCTCCAGGACTTATTGATCTACTCATTGCAAGTTTTTACTTCTATTTATTTTTTTTTTCAAATTAAGAGAGCTTTAATAACCGCACTGCGACTGTCCCATCCTACACAGAGGAGAGAGCAGCCGCAAGTTTTTAGTTTTAAACAACATCTCCTCACTTCCTCCACCCCCAGCCCCTGGCATCCACCACTTACTGAGTTCCTATAAGTTCAGCTTTTTTAGATTCCGCCTACACTTTTTAAAATTTATTTTTACGGTTTCCGCTATTACACATGTCTGCATTTCCCCCCTTTGCTCTGGCCAACACCACACTATTGTCTGGGTCTGTGGATTATGCATCTTTGGCTAATCCCTTCACCTCACATAGAGATATCATACAGTATTTGCCTCTCTTTGCCTGACTTATGTGACTTTGCATAACGCCCTTAAGGTTCATCCCTGATGTTCCAAATGGCAAGATTTATTTGGTGTTTTGTTTTGTTTGGGGTGGTATTTTGTTTCTTTTTTCATCTTCGCCCGAGGGTATTTTTTTATTTATCTTCAGATAGGGGGGAGGGGAGAGAGAGAAACATCAATGTGAGAGAGGCACATTGATTGGCTGCTTCCTGCACGACCCTGAACAGGGCCAGGGACGAACCACAACCCAGGTATGTGTCCTTGACCAGAATCAAAACTGCGATTCTTTGGTCCACGGGTCAACGCTCTAACCATTGAGGCAAACCAGCCAGGGCAAAATGTCTTTGTTTCTAATAGCTGAATAACACTACAGTGTGTGTGTGTGTGTGTGTGTGTGTGTGTGTAACCTGTCTCCCTTTCTCAAGGTGTCTACAGGCTGGGCCATCCGATTTTGCAGGTTGATGCTACAATATCCTGGTCTCGTGGGCATTAGAAAAGGTGATGTGCAAAAAATGATACAGCATCTCCGTTCCTGACCTCAGCCCAACCTCTCTGCCTTCTGCATTTATCCCAAGTTTTTGCATATTCCCATCGACAACAGTAAGACCAGATAACCATTCTGCCTTCCCTGTCTTTTCTTCATCCCATTTCATTCAATACATCTCTTCAGAGTTGGTAGGGGGAGAGGACCCAATTCTATCTCCATTGCACCCTGAGTTTCTAGAGCAAGATACCTGTCTTCTATTTCCACCTTCCATTTGCCAAAGGAGGGGGGGCGGTAGCTCCTTCTTGGCCATGTTAAGAGGACCTGATGTCCCCTTAGGGATCTACCAACTTCCCACAGTTATTACCTCACCACCACTACCACCACCACCGAGAACAAAGTTTCCCAACTCTGAGTTAGAAGTAAAAGCTACAGCCTCAGGACATGGCGACAATTCTGCAGGGAGGATGTCCGTCTCTCCAGTCTTACTGGGCCATGGCTGAGGCACCCAGTTTCCCTGAGCCATTACCCACACCTGCAGCGTTTGCTTTGCCCCCTCGTGTCTCTTCAACCACTGGAAACTGGTTTCTCACCCACCCTTCCTCCGAAGCTGTTTTCGTGACAGCGCTAGTGCGTTTCCTAGAATTTGCAATGGACCTTCTGAACCTTTTATCTTGGTGCCCCTGTCTATGACCACTTCCTCCTTGACTCACCGGCTGTCTCCGCCCGTTCTCTAACTGTCCCTGTACCCTCAGGTTTTCAGACTCTGTAGTGCTGCAGCTTTGGGGTTCGCCGGACAGACCCACCTGTCTCTGGACACAAGTCTGGGTTGATCTCATTAAACTCCATGGTTTTAATTTCTCCAAGGTGGAGGCCCAAATCCTCTGTTTCTCTGAATCTAGTGCTTTTTGTTTTTCTGAAACCTCAGATTATTTTTATCAGTTTTGTTTTGTTTTGTTTTTTTTTTTTTACTAATCTGAACTCATCTTTCCACCTACAAAGTTGTCCCTCTAACTTGTAAACGTTGACACCCTGTTCAGGGTCTCTTTGTTTTGTTCGTGGTACCTACACTTGTGCTTCTGATCACTGTTAGAAAAATGTGTCTCATGAGTTGGCGGATAATAATACAGTTGGTCGTTTCTGGGTTTCTGGGTAGAGAGCTATATGTTTATTATTTCTCCCAACAAGCATCCTCCTATCTACTTGTCTTTTGACATTCTGGTCAGGTTAAATTTATGTATAAACATTTCTTTTTCCAGAAGGTTCAGTACAAGAGTGTATATTTCTCTTTTATTATTATTGATTTTGAGAGAGATAAAGCAGGGAAAGAGAAAGAGAGAAACATTGGTTTGTTAGTTCACTTATTTATGCATTCATTGGTTGGTTCTTGTATGCACCCCCACCAGAGATTGAACCCACAATTTTGGCATATTGGGAGGGCGTTCCTACCCATGGAGCGAATCAACCAGGGCTCTATTTTTTTAACTTTAAAATTTTTTTATTTTTTAAGTTGATAGAATTTTACACCTGAAACCTATATAATCTTATTAACCGATGTCACCTGAAGAAATTCAATTTAAAAAATAAATGTTGATTGTATATAGACATTGTATATATGGACATTAAAGAATAGGCTGTCTTCTAATAAATTAGAATAGAATAGAATAGAATAGAATAGAATAGAATAGAATAGAATAGAATAGAATAGAATAGACAATAAAATATAACATAAATAATTTCATTATTTTATTCATGTCACATGTTTCGGTGGCAACTGACAGCACTGTGACTGACGTGCCCTCGTTGGTAAATAGTGCCTACTCCCATGCTCCTGCATTTCACCGGGAAAATCTCACAAACCCTAATGCACACTGCCCTCATCTTTCCCATGAAGCTTCTTTTTCTTTAGATTGCTTCTGACATGTATGTCATGTATGTTTCTATGGTAGAAGGTACTTGTTTAACTTAATAATCAATGTAATTGTTGTGTAGAATGCTGCATAATGCAATGGTTAATGTAAAAAAAAAAAAAAAAAAAAACAGGATGAGGCGGTCACTCACTTGCAAATCAGACACTCCCGAGGTGGACCTCCCTCCTGACGTATGCATGCCTGAGACTTTTCAAACTCAGGCTGTTATCAGGAGTTCTCAACCCCCACACTACTGTCACCTGGGGCCAGGTAACCCTGACTGGTGAGGGACTGTCTTAGAAACCACAGGGGGTTGGCTAAGACAATGGAAATGTCTTCTCTCAGTTTGGAGGCTGAGAATTCCAAGATCAATGTGCTGGCCAATTTGGCTCCTGATAAGGAAACTCTTCCTATATGACATGATGAAGGGTCTTTTTGAAGAAAAAGATAAAATGTATGAACAAACAAAATGGCAATGAATACATGTCTATCAACAATGGAATCTACAAACAAAATGAACAGATAGAACAGAAACATTCTCATAGATACAGAAAACATTTTGTTGGTTGCCAGTTGGGAGAAGGGTTGGGGGAATGGTGAAAAAGGTGAAGGGATTAAGAAGCACAAATTCATTGCTAGACTGACAAACCTCAAAGGGAAAGGGGTTGGGGGGGTGGGAAGAAATAAACCAAAGAACTTATATGCATAGCCAATGGACACAGACAATAGTGTAGGAAAAGGTGGGAGGGGGGGCGGGAGTGGGGAGGAGGGGGTCAATGGGGGAAAAATGTGGAACATCTGTAATACATTTTACATCCAACAATAAAGATTTGAAAAAAAAAAAAAAAGAAAGAAAGAAAACTCTTCCTGGTTTCATTGAATCCCCAGTCAATACATTCACTTTTCTACCTTGAGTTTCAAAAGTTTCAGTTCTGGGGTTAAGTCTTTGTCATAGATATTTCTGCATAGTAAAGCAATCAACATAAAACAGCTCTTCCTGACTTACAGGAAGACTTACTTCCTTTTTCCTGGCCATGTACCACCTGCTTCACCTTTTCTTTTCTTTTTTCTTTTTTTTTTTTGTAATTAAGACTTTCTTTATTTGCTTTGAAAAACTGTATATTTGGTTGAAAAGTGTATGCTGTAAATTCTTCTAAAGTATTTGAAATTAAATAATTATTTGTATAAGATAAAATCCACTCTGTATTTCATTTGTCCATAAGATAAGAAATGAAAAAGTTGTAAATATTATTAGATGGATGAGACGTGAAAGGCTAATAATAATCAGTTCTTATTAGAAAGATAAACTGGGAAAACTTTGGGATATAAAGACAACATATCACAAGATATATTGAAGAGAGTTTACTTTAACAAATTACAAATTGAAAAAAATCATTAGCTGTCAAGGGACAATCATTTTACAACTATTTTCAAGAATGGAAAATATTGACTAGCTGTGTGAATACAAACAAGACTGTATACTAAAGAGTGAGCACAAAACGTCTTCCTTGGGAAAACACAGGAACAAAACCTTTTCGGTCTACAAGACATAAAAACGCAATAAAACTTTTAGCAGTTGTTATAGGGTGTTTAAACTGCAGTTTTGCCTGTTCACCTTGGAAACTTCTGTTGATTTCACCAAGGTAAACTGCTTAGCAGAAGTAGAATTAATTTTAAAACCTAAAAGAGAGAGATTATGCCATTAAAAACAAAAAGTTTTAACAATATACAAAGCATTTTATTTTTTTAAATATTTTTATTATGCAATTAATATATTTTTGTTACGGATGTTTCTCCTTTTTCCCCCATTGACACCCTCCCATGCCCGCCCCCTCCCCCACAGCACTGTAGTCTATGTGCATTGGTTATGCTTATATGCATAAGTTCTTTGGTTTATCTCTTCCCTCCCTCCAACCCCCTCCTCTAAGGTCTAGACATAGAAGTAGGGTTCAGACTGCTTCTTCTTTTCATGATACCACCAGTCCTACTGACTCAGGACCTCGCCCTGATGACCTCATTGAATCTTCATGGCTCCTAAAAGCCTTATCCCCAAATACAGTCAGACTAGAGGTTTGGGGCGTCAGCATTTGGGGTTGGGGGGAGAGATGCACAATTCAATCCATAGCAGTGACCTTCCTGGGCATTGCATAATGTTGAACAGCCTGGCCTCTACCCGTGAGATTCCAGGAGCGACCCTCCACACACACACACACACACAACTGTGACAACCAAAAATATCTCTGGATATAACCCTAAATAACCACTGTCTTGGAAGGCTACAAACAAGGTGATAGGAGAAAGCAAGCATGGTGGGGGAGGGGCCTACATGTGGTCTGGCCAGGGAGCCGCTGGTGTGTGAATCATCGGCCACACCCAGAACGCCCACCCACCGAGCAGAGCAATGGAGAGCCCGAGGCGGGTGCATTCTTGGGGAACCTGCAGGAGCCACAGCAGGGCGGGAGCAGAAGGAGCCGGGCAGAAACCTTTGCGCAAGGTGAGTGGAGACCTCCGCGGCACCTGAGGGAGCACTTGTTCGCCTTTCTGTCGGTGAAAGAGCTCACTGTTTCCCTTTTCCACCTCTGCTCTGCCTCTTTTCATTGCCCTGGAACCCCATGGAGAGTTCTCTAAAAATGGGGGTGCCCTCTATTCCTTCTCTGAATCTGAAACGTACAGCAAGTAAAGAGAGAACTTTCGGATCATGAGAGCTGTACCCTGTCCTCAAGCTAACGGAACTCTTAGGTAGCGATTTCTCCCCGCAGAGAGCTCCAAGTGTTATAACCCAGTAATTCTCCATCTGCTAGAAGAAGGAAGCTCTCCTGGGTTCCTTGAGCCCGAGTTGTTTTTGCAAAAATTCTTGAAGAGATGCATCAGCCATGACCATGAGCTTAACTAATCAGGAGATGCCAGACGGGGCGATGAGGCATTCAAGGCTAGGGTTTAGTAAACATTAAGAAATATAAAACAAACAACTTGTACAGCTACTAACTGCTGATATCTGCTTCTGTCCACGCAGCTTGCTTGCTCTGCTAAACCCTTGAGTAACCCCTGTCCTATATAAGCAACCCTCCCCCTGAGCTCGGGGCTGCAGTTCTCCTCTGTGTAGGTTGGCTGCAGTCCCTGTGCAGGTAATAAAGCTCCTAATATTCAAAATTACTTGATGTCTGAGTGAGGATGACTCTCCTGGGTTACAACACAAGGTTGTACTTCTTCTTAGACCAACAGTACTCCGATTTAGCGATTACAACTGGTATTTTAATAAATCAGCTGTCTCCTGGACTGTTCAAATCAGGGGGAGCGGGGGGATGGGGGTGTCTTATTCTAAGTTCAGTTTGGAAATTTGCCCTGAACTTGCAGCCCTGCCTTTCCCCCACACTGAGTGGTTGAAGGTGATGGACAGAATCAGCTAAGCCAGGTTTCTCGGCCTCAGCACCGCTGAAAGTTGGGACCAGATCATTCTTTGTTGGGGGAGGGGCCGCACTGTACACCGTGGGATGTTTAGCAGCATCTCTGGGCTCCACCGTCAGATGCCAGGAGCATCCCCTCCCGCAGCTGTGACAACCAAGAATATCTCCAGATACTGAGTTGGGGAGTGGGGGTGGGGGAGACAGGGATCACCCCCAGTTGAGAACCACTGGTTTGGAGGGAGACCCAGGAGGCCCGCCTGGGCCCCAGAGCGGTATCTAGACAAACTCTGAGCCAGACTCCAGCACACTGAGTTAGGATGGGAGGTTGAGCCTCGGATCTACTGGTGCCCCCCTGGGTCTATGATGGAATGTTCCACCTCTGCCCTTCTTGGTCTCTGGTGAAATGTTCCGTTTCCTTCCCCACGCCCACCCCTCACCCCTCACCCCCTCACCCCGACTGTGATGCATTGCCCCCCCCCCTCACTCCCCTGGGTCTATGATAGAATGTTCCACCTCTGCCTCCCAGGTCTGTGATGGAATGTTCCACCTCTGCCCTTGGTCTATGGTGAAATGTTCTGCCTCTGTTTCCTTCCCCACTCCCACCCCCCAACCCCCCGTCTGTGATGCATTGTCTCCCTCTCTGACTCCCCTGGGTCTATGATGGACTCTTCCATCTCTGGCCTCCCCCATCTATGATGGACTGTTCCCCCTCTGACTCTCCCTCCCACCCCCACCCCGGTCTATGATGGACTGTTCCCCCGCTGACCCCCCACCCGTCTATGATGCAGTGTTTCACCTCTGCCCCCTCCCAATCGATGATGGACTGTTCCACCCCCCCCAGCTATGATGGACTGTTCCATCCTGGAGGCCCCAGCACAGACCTCCTGTTGGGAGCTTGGCCTCAGCCCAGCTGCAAGGCACGTCTGGCCGGTATCCTGGGAAGAACCCTGTGCCCTGAGCCTCCCTGGATTCAGCTCTGTGCCATTCTCCCTACTGAGACTTTCAGAGAGGTGAGCTTAGGACCCCAACTCTGTCTTCACAAGCACTTGGCAGGGAGGAAGAAGAGGGTTCAATGAGATGTTGGGGGGAGGATTCACCTTCCCAGGCCTGATCTCTGGCTCATACTCAAGCCTGAATAAACCGTGGTAAGATCCGCCCAAAATCAAGAGTCTCCCTCCTTCCTGGGCAGGTATGGCCCTCCACCCTCTCTGGGGCTCACCGAGGCTCAACAAGAAACAGTGGGAGCCCTGACCCTGCAACCCTCTGGCCCCTAACCCTGCAGAGCTGCGCCCTGAAGGATGGGTGCTGGGAGGTCAGGTGGAGCTGCAGGCTGTGGGGAGTGGGGCTCCCCTGACATGGTGAGGCGGAGGGTTTAACCCCTGCTGTCTGCAGGAAAGAGAAGAAAAAACTAAACTCTTCCTCCCTGACTTTGGCTGCCCAGGGTGGACAGCAGCCTGCAAATCCACCTCAGACGAGAAGCCTCACCTGCTCTCAGCAGTGAGGTGTTCAACCTGAGGCGGGCACAAGGATTGCGTGGTGGGAGCTGCCCCGTGCATGGCACCCTGGTCTCTGCCCACTGAAAGCACCAGTCAGGAAGCTGATTCATGGTTCCCAGGGGCGGGGTCGGGAATGCAGAGTGACCCTTTAATGGGCAGAGCGGTTCCTTCTGGGGTGGTGAGAGAGTTCTGGAAACTGGGCAGTGGTGACGGTTGCACAACATTTTGAATATACCACATGCTGCTTCAGTGTACAGCTCGAGACGGTCAAACAGAAGGGCACCCTCGTGCCCTGCCGGCGGGACTGCAGACTGCTGCAGCCACTGTGGAAACAGTGTGGAGTTTCTTCAAAAATTTTAAAATGGCCCGGCCAGTGTGGTTCAGTGGATTGGGCGTCAGTCCCATGGACTGAGAGGTCCTGGTTCGATTTCCGGTCAGGGCACATGCGGGGGTTGCAGGCTGATCCCTGCTTGCAGGAGGCAACAAATGGGTATTTCTGTCACACACGGATGTTTCTATCTCTCTCTCCCTTCCTCTCTCTCTAAAAAGTCAATTAAAACATATGTTTTTAAATTTTTAAATGGAACTGCTATCTGAACCAGTGATCCCACTACTAGGAATATATCCTAGGAGTCCTGAAACGCCAATCAGAAAGTATATATGTACCCCTATGTTCATAGCAACACTATTTACAATAGCCAAGATCTGAAAACAGCCCAAGTGCCCATCAGTAGAGGAGTGGATACAAAAGCTGTGGTACGTTTACACAGTGGAATACTATGCAGCTGTAAAAATAGAAGGAACTCTTACCCTTTCAGACAGCATGGATGGACCTGGAGAGCATTATGCTAAGTAAAAGAAGCCAGTCAGAGAAAGACAAATACCATATGACCTCCCTTATGTGTGGTGTTATCATGTGTCAGCGAGATAACCAGAGATGCACAGCCAAATTGTAAAGGAGTCCTTTATTCTCGCCGGTGGGCAGCGGAGGGCATAGTCTCCCCTCAGATCAGCAGCCACGATTCTTCTTGCTCATCTGATTTTAAAGACAGAAGCCCCATCCTCATTTTGTGCCCTCCCCCTCAGAGGACCAGTACAATAGTGGGTGTGACAGCAATTACAGAAGTCAGAATTAGCATTATTCACTGGGCTCATGAGTACCTACCTGCAAATGCCAGCAATTACCGGTACTCGAAACTGCAAATGCTCCCAACACATGGGGCAGCTATAATCTTAGGCAAAATTTCTTTACTTCTAGGGGTAATTGACCTATTATTGGAAATATACCAAGGAAAGTCCACGGATGATAAAAAAAAAAAAAAAAAAAAAAAAAGGAGTCATTTAGTCGCCTTAGCCAAGAGACCTACATAAGAATGGAATCTAGTCACCTTAACCTTGGGACCCAGGTCAGTGGAAACTAATGAGCAAAACAAACTGATAAACAAAGTAGAACCAGAGGCATGGATACATGGAACAGACTGACTGGCAGAAGCCAGAGGGAGGGGGGACTGGATGAAAAAGGTGAAGGGATTAGCCAAAGAACATATATGCACCACCCATGGACACGGACAACATTGTGGTGAGGGCAAGAGAGAGGGGCTGGGGGCTGGGTGGTGGTGGGTAAAGGCGGGGAAAGTAGGGGACATCGGTGATAGTGACAACAATAAAAAATGATTAAAATAGTAAGTTTGATGTCATGTGTATTTTACAACAACAACAACAAAAAATGTCTCTAATGTTGCCAAGTGTCCCGTATGGGGCAAAGTTGCCCTCAGTTGAGGACTACTGTGTTATTCTGTGGTGGTGAGTAGGGAGACCACGGATCTAGGGTTTTTCTATTTCAGTGCTGTTGACATTCAGGCTGGGTGTTTCTTTGTTTGAGGGGATTGTCCTGTGCATTGTTGACATGTTTGGCAGCATCCCTGGTCTCCACCCATTAGATGCCAGGAGCGTCCCCTAGTCATGACAATAAAAATATTGAAAATATCCTGGAGATATTTTTGGCTCAATGGTTAGGGCGTGGGCCCACGAACCAATGCATCACAGTTCAATTCTGGCCAAGGGCATGTACCTCAGTTGCAGTTCAGTCCCCAGCCCTGGTCGAAGTCATGCAGGAGGCAACGGGTCTTTGTGTCTCTCTTGAATCGTTGCTTCTCTCTCCCCCTTGCTCCCTCCTACTCTACCTGAAGATAAATGGAAAAAGTATCCTCGGGTGAGGATTATTTTTAAAAATTACTCTGGCCAGTGTGGCTCAGTTGGTTGGGCATCATCCCGTGCACCAAAAGGTCACCAGTTCAATTCCCAGTCAGGGCACATGCCCGGGTTGCAGGCTCCATCCCTGGAAGGGGGCATACAGGAGGCAGCCAACTGATGTTTCTCTCCCTCCTTTTCTCTCTCTCTAAAAAAAAAAAAAAATCAGTAAGCCCTAGTGGGTCTGGCTTAGCAGTTAGAGCTTAGGCCCAGGGACTGAAGAGTCACAGGTTCGATTCCCGTCAAGGGCACGTACCTGGGTTGTGGGTTCACTCCCCAGCCTCGGTCTGAGTCATGTGGGAGGCAACCAATCAATATGTTTCTCTCATGTCGATGTTTCTCTCTCTCTCTCCCTCTCTCTCCCTCTCTCTCCCTCTCTCTCCCTCTCTCTCCTTCCCTCCCACTCTTTTTTTTTTTTTTTTTTTAGTCCTCACCCAAGGACATTTTTGTATTTATTTCCAGATAGAGTGGGAGGGAGAGAAGGAAGAAGACAGAGATAAAAACATCGATTTGAGAAAGACGTTGACTGGTTGCCACCCACACGACCCCAGTCGGGTTTGGGGACCAACTGCAACCGAGGTACATGCCTTTAGCAGGAACCGAACCCAGTTCTCTGGTCTGCAGGCCAATTTTCTAACCGCTGAGCCAAACCGGCCAGGGACCTCCCACTCTATCTTAAAAAAAAAAAAAAAATCAATGGAAAGATATTGTCAGGTGAGGATTAACCAAAAATAATAATAATAAATAAATAAATAAAAATCAATTAAAGTAATAAATGCAGCTTCAAACATAGTGCACTTTGCTTTTTTATTATCCTGTGTCCTTATGCAAGAAAACACATTCGACATAAAGTGGGTACATGACTCGTGCAGAACCCGCTGTAAACCAGCGAGTATGAGCTCACGCCTCGGTTTTGACCCAGTAATTGACACGGGACCTGTACATCGCTAGACAGTGTTCTCAGCCGTGCGTTCAGAAAAGGAAGTCACAATAGGGGGGTCTGCTGGCTCCCCCGGCCTTCCAATCTATTGTCAGCGTGGGGTTGCTGTCTCTCAATTCCTCCAGCAGCTTCTGGGTTCGCGCACTGGCTTCGCACGTCTTCAGCCTGAGTGTCTTTAACCGGCAGGGACTGCGTTTCAAAGCCTCCAAGAGCGCCGTGGTTCCCCTCTGCCCCAACGTGTTCTGGCCCAGGTCCAGGGCCTCCAGCCGCTGGTTGCTGGTGAGCGCAGAGGCGAGATCCTCACAACAGAAAGGCGAGATGGAGCAGCCACAGAGTCTGTTGAGAGAGAGAACAGGTGCTGAATCGCTCGCCCAGCAAGACAGACAGCCCTCAGAGGGAGGGTGGGAGGGCGGGCTGGAAGAGATTAATCAAAGAACTGCTATGCATATATGCATAGCCCGTGGACACAGACAACAGACAGGTTAAGGCCTGGTGTGGAGCCAGGTGGAGGTGGACAAAAGGGAGGAAATGAGGGCCATCTGTAATACGCTCTACAATAAAATTAATTAATTAATTTTTTTTTTTATCCTCACCTGAGGATATTCTTCCATTTTTTGTTCAGATAGAACAGGAGGGAGAGAGAGAGAGAGAAACATCGATGTGAAGGGACACATCAAGTGGCTGCCACCCGCACGACCAACCAGGGCCAGGGACAAACTGCAACCAAGGTACGTGCCCTTAGCGGGAATCGATCCCGGGTCTCTCTGTACCACAGGCCGACACTCCAACCACTGAGCCAAACCGGCCAGGGCAAAATTAATTATTTTTAAAAAGCACTTTCAGCCCGGCTGGTGTGGCTCAGTGGCTGAACATCAACCCATGCACCAACAGGTCCCGGTTCCATTACCGGTCAGGGCACATGCCCAGGTTGTGGGCCCGATCCCCAGTGGGGGGCATGCAGGAGGTGGCCAATAAACATTCTCTCTCATGGATGTTTCTGTCTCTCTCTCTCTCTCTAAAATAAATAAAGAGCCCTGGCTGGTTTGGCTCAGTTGGCCCGTGGACCAGAGACACCAGGGTTCGGTTCCTGCTAGGGGCACGTACCTTGGTTGCAATTTGTCCCTGGTCCCCGTTGGGGTTGTGTGGGTGGCAGCCACTCGATGTGTCTCTCTCACATAGATGTTTCTCTCTCTCTCTTTCTCCCTCTCTCCTTCCTGCTCTATCTGAAGATGAATGCAAAAATGTCCTCGAGTGAGGATAAAAATAAAATAAAATGAATAAAGAAAAAAATTAAAAATAAAATGCACTTTCACTTAAAATATTTCAAATATACCAAAAAAAAAAAAAGAATAATGTAATAAACACTTATACACACTAATTTAAAAAGTCCTTATTCAGAACCTGCTGTTAGCCACACCCCAACTTGCTAGTAATGAAGAGACGGGGGTGGGGAGAGCTTTTTCTTCACAGAGCTTATTTTGGGGACATGGGACATCAGGACATGTTTTGAAGACCATATGGATGAGTTGTTAGGATAAATCCAGTAGAGAGAAGGATTAGGTAGGTTGACGGTGGTCAGTGAATTTTCGTTGGGAAGATGCTATGAGGAAAAAATAAATAAAAACTAAGGGACGGTGTAGCTGAGATGCCAACCTATGGTATATAAGTCACAAGAGGACCCCGTAGGTCTTGGAGGCTACTGTCAAAACCTTCCGATTTTATCTGCAGCAAATGGGAGGCTTTCAAGTCTTCTGAAACATAGGTGCTGCTCTGGCTGGTGTGGCTCAGTTGCCTGGGCATCGTCCCATGCACCAAAAGGTCGCCAGTTTGATTCCCGGTTAGAGCACATGCCCTGGTTGGGGGCATGCAGGAGGCAGCCGATCAATGTTTTGCTCTCACATTGATGTTTCTCTCTCTCTCTCTCTCTCTCTCTCTCTCTCTCTCTCTCTCTCTCAAAAAATACAATATTTAGCCCTGGCCGGTTTGGCTCAGTGGTTGGAGCATCGGCCTGCGGACCAGAGAGTCCCAGGTTCGGTTCTCACTAGGGGCACATACCCCCCCCAAAAAAAAGTCAATAAAAATACAATATTTTTGTCTTAGAAAGAAACAGATGCTGTGGTTTGGCTGGAACCTTGAAAGGTGCCTCGGGGTGCTGGGTTGAGAATAAACTGCAGGAATTCAAGGCCAGCACCTGTAGACCAGCTCAGAGATCGCGTGGCCCCTGGTGGCTCAAGTGAGTGTTAGCAGTGGTGGGGCAGACGGTTATCTTCAAGGTGCCGGGAAGGAGGAGCCCCAGAATGGTTCAAATTTGAGGTGTTAAATGGAGGGGAAAGTAAAACATCAGGAGCCTTAGAGAACGTGACCAGAAGGATAGGACAGTGGTTCTTTCGACCCAGCAGCCCATAGAGTTAACTGTACACACGAATGCATGTATGTGATCATGGCTTTCACTGTTCACCTGCTTTTTCCAGAACTCCTTCTAGACCAAAAGATGCCACTGCCCATGAAGGACGGAGGGAGGTGCTATTTAGAGTCGACAGAGCTCCAGCCAGCTTATATAGAGCTGAGTGGGCTGGCTCAAGCCACACCGACCCCTCAGTCACGTGCCCTTGCCCCCTCTACACACCTATGTGTGGCACCTCCAACCATCCTTCAGCTGCTCCAGGAGCTGTGACAGGCAGGGGATACAGAAAATAGATTCCATCCCCCCTCCAAAATAACAGTTACAATGCATAAATGAGTGAACAAATGGTGGTATCGCCATACAATGGTATATGGCTTAGCCGCAGAAGGAATGAAGTACTTCCACACGTTACAATGTGGAGAAACCTTGAATATATTGTGGAATATTACTCGGCCATCAAAAAGAATGAAATCTGACCATGTGGTTGGACCTAGAGGGTATGATGCTCAATGAAATAAATCAGGCAGAGAAAGACAAATACCATATGATTTCACTTGTATGTGGAATCTAATGAATAAACTAAGCAAACCAAATAGAAACAGACTCATAGACACAGAGAACAGACTGATGGTTGTCAAAAGGGAGAGGGGTTGAGGGACAGAATGAAAAAGGCAAAGGGATTAAGAAGAGAAAAAAAAAACCCTCATAGACACAGAAACGATATGGTGATCACCAGAGGGGAATGGGGTATGGGAGGTAGAAAAGGGTAAAGGGGGGATGAATGATGATGGAAGGAGACTTGGGGTGGTGAACACACAATACAATATCCAGATGATGTATTGGAGAATTGAGTGCCTGAAACCAATATAATCTCATTAATCAATACCACAATAAATTCAATTTTAAAAAGTTAAAAAAAATTTTTTTAAGAATTGTCCATATAGTAAAGGAAAAATTGAATGTCAGAGGTCACAGCTAGAAGATATTAGATGGGATCTAAACCATGTTGTCAAAGCCCCGGGTTTCATGCCTGTGCTGGGGCACGGGGTCCTTGTTCAGCTATCTAGAACAGTGATCCCCGTCTCTGGATGCTGTGAATTTGTATGTTCAGCATCTTCACCAACTTGCAATTCAGGGGAGCTCAAACCTGATGGAATATTGGATTCCTCCAGGGAAAGCCTGGTCTCCAAGACTTTAAAGAGTTCCCCAGGTCCAGCCAAGTTGGAAAACCAAAGTACCTGGTGTTCTAGAGGTCTTTCTGGTTTCTGCAAGTCTGAGCAAGTTTTTACATGACCCAGGCTCTCTTTCCACTGGGGTTCTGGTTGCAAAGGAGGTTGCATCGGTGAGACTTGAAGAGAGACATGCTGCACAGCTCACCATTCGTTGATGGAGACGTTGCATTTCCTGAGTGCTGAGCTTGGGCAGGTCCACAGTATTCTAATCACTGGACCCAGCACAGGCAACATATTCCTGAAATCCATCCCCACCTGCATCTACTTTTCCAGTCCTTCTGAATGACCCTGACCCTCTTACCTGTATCCAACTTCGGCAGGGGTTTTGCTCCTAACATTGGACCCGCCGCGATACGATTACAGTCTATACCCCAAAAATACCTCAGAGAGGTTAAATATTTCCAAAACACCTTTAAAGCGAGCAGAAGTACCTACCCCAGGCATCTGAGGTTGCAGTCTGGCTTCTTCAAAGCCTCACAGAGAAACCGCAATCCGGTCGCGATGGGATTGAGACCCAGGTCCAAGTGGGTCAGGCTGGAGCCTCCTTGAAGAAGATCTGAGAGATGTTTGCAGCCTCGTCTGGTTATGTTGCACTGACACACTCTACAAAGACAGCCATGAGAGAAGTCTGTCATCTCTCTGTGACACACGCCCTGCAAAGGGACTGTTACCTCCGACACCAGGTCTCGTCTACCTGGAGCCACACGCTTTCAGAGGGGCTTGTCCATAGCCTACAAACGGAATGATGGTTATGTGATCACTGCCCGTCTAAGTGATAGCGAGTGAAACTGGCTTCTGAATACCACCTTCGATTGTGGATAAACACACACACACACCTTCTAAGATACAGGTGTTCCTAGAATGGCAGCATCTTACAAGTCAAGAGCTTAGGCTCTGGGTACGGACAAACCTGGGACTGGATCTGAGTTCTAGTTTATTTTTCTTTTTTTTTTTTTAATGTTTCCACTGTAGTTCACATTGAATCACTCATATGTGGAATCTGATGAACGAACAAGCAAAACAGAGACAGACTCATAGACACAGAGCAGGTTGACAGCTGTCAGGGCGGGGGGGGAGTTAGGGGGCTAGGTGGAGTGGGGAAGGGATTGAGTGAAAAAGAAAAAAACTCATGGACAGGCACAACAGTGTGGTGATTGCCAGGGGTGGAGGTGGGTGCAGGGAGGTGGAGGGGGTATAAGTGGGATAAATGGTTTGACTCGGGGTGGTGAACACACAAGACAGTGCACAGGTGATGTGTTGTGGAATCGTGCCCCTGAAACCTATATAATTTTATTAGCCAGTGTCACCCCAATAAATTCAATCAAAAGGGGAAATTAAAATTAAAAAATAAAATAAGCCCGGCCAGTGTGGCTCAGTGGATTGAGCATCATCCCAGGGACTGAGAGGTTCTGGTTCGATTCCCAGTCAGGGTACATGCCTGGGTTGTGGGCTCAATCCCCAATAGGGGGTGTGCAGGAGGCAGTTGATTGATGTCTCTCACAGGTGAGAAACATCAATCAACTGCCTCCTGCACACATCAATGTTTCTAACTCTCCCTTTCTCTCTCTCTAAAAAAGTAATAAAAACATATTTAAAAATAAGTACATAAAATAGGGCTGTCTACATAATGTCATATATGAAAATTTGTGTTCCCATGAACACTGTTTAGGGGAGATTATGAACTTCTTTATTTTCTCTGTTTACTATAAGCTGAATACTTGTTTTTTCCTCTTTAGACTTAAATGATTGGGGCATGTCTAGATTAAGGCATATCTTTTTTGGTTTTTACTTTGACATTTTTAATTTACTTTTCCATTGCAGTTCACATACAATGTTACATTTGTTGCAGATGTACAACACCCTGATTAGACATGTATTTATATACCTTACAAAGTGACCCCCCTGATAAGTCTAGTGCCACCTGGCCCCATACATCATTATTACAATATTATTGGCTATATTCCCCATGCTGTACTTTAATCCCTGTGATGTATCTTAGACTGAGACATCAGGTGTTTCTAGGACCAGCTAGAAGCCATGGAAATAACTGTCAGACCGTCTTTTTAGGAGAAAAAGAGTCCTAGAGAAGTCAAACCCAGATAGAATTTCTGAGCAGAAATAGGTCTCCAACTCTACACAGTCTCTTGAATGTTGACTTCCCTGTGATTCCAATGGGCACGGGTAGTCCACGCTGGGCTTGTTCCCAGGTAACGAGGTCAGTGAACTACAGTCCATGGGTCACATCCAGCCCACCACCTGTGTGGGTTTTTTTAATTGAATTTATTGGGGTGACCTTGGTTCACTAAACCATACCGGTTTCAAGTGTACAACTCAACAAAAAACATCATCTGCACATTGCATCGTGCACCCATCACCCAAAGCAAAGTCTCTTTCCATTCCCGTTTATCCCCCCTTTGCCCACCTCCACCTTCCCCCAGTCCCCCTTCCCTCCACCTTTTTTGTAAGTAACATTTCAATAGAACACAACTACACTCATTCTTCTGTGTGGTCATGTGACAGCAGAGTTGAATAACTGGGATGGAGATCATATGGTCCACAAAGCCTAAAATATTCACCGTCTGGCTCTTTGAAGAAAAAAAAAAAGTTTGAACCCATACCCTGTAACTCAATCCATTCCCAACTGCAGGAAGAAGTATGTCATATGAACTTGAAGAACACACACAAAACGTCAGACTTGAGCCCTTGGTATGCTCAGTGGTTACAGCGTCAGCCTGCACTCTAAGGGGTCTTGGGTTCAATTTCCAGTCAAGGGCACCTACCTGGGTTACAGGTTTAATCCTCAGTCAGGGCACATGCGGGAGGCAACCAACAGATGTGTTTCTCTGTCTCTTTCTACCTACCACCACCCCTTTCCACTCTCTCTAGAAATTAATGGAAAAAATATCCTTGGGTGAGGATTAACCAAAAAAGAGTCACATCTGCCCTGGCCGGTTTGGCTCAGTGATTAAAGTGTTGGCCCACAGAGCAATGAGTCTCGGGTTTGATTCTGACCAAGGGCATGTACCTTCGTTGTGATTTGATCCCTGGCCCTGGTCGGGGTCGTGCAGGAGGCACCAATTGATGTGTCTCTCACATTAATGTTTCTTTCTCTCACTCTCTTCCTCTCTCCTCTCTCCCTCCCACTCTATTGGGAAAAAAAAAATCAATGGAAAAATATCCTGGGGTGAGGGTAAAGATTTAAAGAAAAAAGTCAGATCTGAGAACCCATCTCTATCCCAAATTCCCAGGATAAAAGAGACCAGAAGGTAAACTCTGTCCTGAAAGGCAGACAAATAAGAGCATCTCTGTTTCTACCCAGTGTTTCCCAAATTTGTATCAGGGTCTTACCAGTTTCATTCAACTAGAATTAAGTGGTCTCCTCTCTTTCCTATGTGTCTGCACACACACACACACACACACACACACACACACACACATACACAGAGCCAGTGAGGACTTACACCAGGGTCTGTAGTTGACATTCAGGGTAACTCAAGCCCTCACACAGAAGTCTCACCCCGCCATCCCCAAGGTTATTCTTGGCCAAGCACAGGTGTGTCAGCCTCCGGTTGACCATCAAAACGGAAGAGAGCTCCTTGCAACAGACTTCCGTAAGGTGACAGTTCTCCAACCTGTGGAAGGACCACACCCATGGTAAGATGGTGAGAACATTCCCAGAGCCCAACCTTCTCTGCTGAGAGCTATGGTTGTTCACCCCCACCCTCTGTATCTTGTGCCCTGAAGGATCAGAAATGAGAGACAGTCAGCCACTATGGAAAACAGTGTGGAATTTACTCAAAAAATTAAAACTGAAACTACCGTTTGACCCAGCAATCCCACTTCTAGGAACATATCCTAAGAAGCCTGAAACATCAGTCAGAAAGAACATATGCTCATATGTTCATAGCAGCATTATTTACAATAGCAGAAACAGCCCAACTGCCCATCAGTAGATGAGTGGATGAAAAAGCTGTGGTACATCTACACAATAGAATACTATGCAGCTGTGAAAAAGAAGGACCTCTTACCCTTTTTGACAGCATAGAGGGACCTGGAGAGCATTATGCTAAGCAAAATAAACCAGTCAGAGAAAGACAAGTATCACATGATCTCACTTATATTTGGAATCTAATGAGCAAAATAAATTGATGAACAAAATAGGTCCAGAGGCATGGAGGCATGGAACAGACACAGATCTCAGAGGTTGGCAGAGGGGCGGAAAGAGATTAACAAAAGAACTTACATATACATGTATATGTAAGTAGACACAGACAATAGTGTGGTAAAAGCCTGGGGTGGGGTAGAGGCTGGGATGAGGATGGTAAAGGGGGAGGGGAGGTGGAATTGGAGGACATCAGTAATACTGTCAACAATTTTTGTTAAAAAGAATAAAATGTATGATTCATCTGCCTAAGACCAAAACTAGAAACCAGGTGTTGTGCACATCAGTAGGTTGCCCAGTGAACATGGGTGTTGCCATACCTCTTCTCTATGTGGTTCCAGATCTCAACACAAAGATGCCCCATGGGAAAAGAGGAGACACTTACGATAACCTCTGCAGGAAGCACTTTGGGTGTCTCAGACTCAAACACAGCAACTTGACACCCTCATCCTGGAGCTCACTGGCTGTGAGGTCCAGAGATTGCAGGGACTGGTTGATTTTGAGGGCTGAGAAGAAATCATCCCACTGTTGCGTGAGGTCAGAACAAGACCCCAACCTGTGGGATGCATGGGGACAAGTCATTCTCCTGAGAAACAGAGAGCCCCTACCAGCTTATCACGCTTCCTTGAAGGTTGTATCCTTGACTTTCATCTCATTTTGCTCCTAAAGGTGTCCAACCCTGGCCTAAAGGATTGGAAAGACTTGATCTCATTTGCTTCTTCGAATATCCCCATGGCCATTCAGTCAATGTGCAGCCTCTTCACAAATATGTAATACAATTCTACGTGAAGTTTCACCAACATGACCTGCTAGTTTCCTTCACATTTCATTTTTTAATAAGATCATGTTCCCTGCCGAAGTCTGTTCTAATCTCATTGATGTCTAGATACATGATTCTACAGGGGATCCCTGGCCAGGTGGCTCAGTTGGCTGGAGCTTCATCCCATACACCTAAAAGGTAGTGGTTTGATTCCCAGTCAGGGCACATACCTAGGTTACAGGTTTGATTCCCAGTCCGGGTACATATGGGAGGCAACCAATCAATGTCTCTCTATGTGTGTATGTGTCTTTCTCTCCGTCTCCCCATCTCCCCATCTCCCCATCTGACTGTCCCAGGCAGGGCACATAGGTTTGATCCCTGCTCAAGACGTGTACAGGAGGCAACCGATCAATGTTTCGCTCTCACATCGATGTTTCACCCTCTCCACTCCCCCTTCCTCTCTCTTTAAAAATCAATAAAAATACATCCTTCGGTGAGGATTTTAAAAAATTTAAAATGGGCCCTGGCCCGTTTGGCTCAGCGGTTAGAGCGTCGGGCTGCGGTCCAGAGAGACGCGGGTTCGGTTCCCGCTAAGGGCGCATACCTTGGTTGCAGTTTGTCCCCGGCCCTGGTCGGTCGTGCGGGTGGCAGCCACTCGATGTGTTCCTTTCACGTCGATGTTTCTCTCTCTCTCTGTTCCTCTCTCTGCCTCCCACTCTACCTGAACAAAAAAATGGAAAAATGTCCTCGGGTGAGGATAAAAAAAAAAAAAAAATTTAAAATGGAACTGTCTTTTGATCCAGTGATCCCACTTCTGGGAATATGTCCCAAGAAACCCAAAACACAAACCAGAAAGAATATAGGCACCCCTATGTTCATAGCAGTGTTATTTACAATAGGCAAAATCTGGAAACTGCCTAAGTGCCAATCAGCAGATGAATGGATAAAAAAGCTGTGGTATATTTACACAATGGAATGCTATGCAGCCATAAAAAATAAGAAAATCTTACCTTTTGCAGCAGCATGGATGGACCTGGAGACTATTATGCTAAGTGAAATAAGCCAGTCAGAGAAAGACAAATACCATATGATCTCACTTATAAGTGGAATCTAATGAACAAAATAAGCTGATGAACAAAATAGAACCAGAGGCATGGATACATGGAACAGACCGACAGAGGTCAGAGGGGAGGTGCGTGGGACAGACAGGATGAAAGAAGGTGATTAGCTAAAGAACATATATGCACAGCCCATAGACACAGGCAACAATATGGGGCTGGGTGGTAGTGGGCAAAGGGTGGGTAAAATGGGGACATCTGCAATAATGCCCACAATTAAAATAAAGTAAAAAAAAAATGGTGCCCCAAAGATGGATGATGGTGATCAGAGTACTTGTTATGGGCATTCACTGAGGAATGGGGACTCTCTCAAACCATTGAGCCACCAAGAATCAGGACCCCTGATGCTTCTACTGGGTTACTGAGAGGGCAGTTCAGGTCAACAGCTGCTCTGAATCCCAGCAGAAAGGCAACACGCTGCCTGAAATGTTTCATCCCTAAGCTAGAGGATGACACAAAATTCTAGGTGTGTCTTTGCATTCGGGGCTCATTATTCAATGCGGTAAATCAGCTGGGTGGAGAGAGAGAGTAGAGGCTGAAACCCCAGGTTCTATTGGAGAAGATGCTCCCCCCATGCAGTGTGATAGCCAATCAGAGAGGTACCCTGGTCTGCGCAGCTCACTCAGCTCACAGCCATGACAGAGGTACCTGAGATACTGCAGGTTACACCTCCTGTGCTTCAGGGCCTCACACAACAGCAGCAGCAGCATCTTATCACCGTGGACACTGCCTTCCAGGGTCAGGTGCGTCAAGGTCTTCTTACCAATGAGAGCTAGACAGAAGTCCCGATAGGCGTCCGTGGGGGAGACGTTTTTAATCCTAAGAAATAGAAGGGAGGCGGGGTTCCATGTTGGGTGCTGAAGATGGTTGGTGCTCGGAACACTGTGAGGGGAGACGTCACAAGTCAGGACAGAAAAGGGAAAGCTGGTTAGTTCCCAAGTCAACTAACTTGAAGGAAAGTCAATGGCAAGATGGCTGGGAAAGAGCAAAATGAGTTGTGAATGGAAGAAGTATTGGGTGATGGGGGCAGACAGAATCAGAGGATGATGAGGTTAGCATACCTTGTCTTTGCTCATGCAATTTCTGAGATAAAATAGCCTTATCCTCTCTTTTTAAATATTTTTATTGGCCTGGCCAGTGTGGCTTAGTGGTTGAGCATTGACCCATGCACGAAGAGGTCACTGGTTTGATTCCCATTCAGGGCACGTGCCCAGGTTGTGGGCCCCATCCCCAGTGGGAGGGCATGCAGGAAGCAGTCGATCAATGTTCTCTCTCATCAATGTTTCTATCTTTCTTTCCCTCTCCCTTCTTCTCTCTCTAAAATCAATAAAGGGAAATTTTCAAAAAATAAATATTTTCATTGATTGTTAGAGAGAGAGGGAGAGAGAGAAAGAAAACATCAATGTGAAAGCAAAACATGGATCTGCTGCCTCCTGCACGCCACCTACTGGGGATCAAACCTGCACCCTGGGCATGTGCTCTAGCTGGGTATTGAACTGGCAATCTTTTGGTGCATGGGACAAGGCCCAACAAACTGAGCCACACTGGCCAGGGCTCCTTAATTTTGCATTACTATCATCTTCTTCAGCATTGAGCTCACGCACGTCTTCCCCTCTCCGTCATGCCTACTGCCATTTTCTAGTAAGAATAAATCACATCTTCCCATAACCCCTCGTGGTCTCTATATTTCTATAAAGCAGTAATGATGTAGGCTATAGTACATTATGCTTATTAAGTTAGTAAATAAACTGTGGACTCCTTGATGGTATGGACCCTTAAGAGTTGTTGTTCTTTAACTCAGACACAGACAACAGTATGGTGGTTACCAGAGGGAAAGGGGGTAGTGGGTAGTAAAGGGTAAAGGGGGTCAAATATATGGTGATAGAAGGAGATTTGACTTTGGGTGGTGGACACAAAATGCAATATGCAGATCATGTATCATAGAATACTACACTTGAAACCCGTATGATCTTATCAACCAATGCCACCCCAATAAATTTAATTTAAAAATAAATAAGAAAAAGTTATGTTGTTTTCTTGTCATCCAGCATGATTGTGGAATTTTACACGGGATTAAAATAAATTCTAAATGACCTATAACATGGATTTTTCTCTAATCAAACTCTGGGCTTCAAGAAACAATTCGATGTTTGAAATGGTGTACACTTGGCCCAGTGATCCCACTTCTGGGAATATATCTTAAGAATTGCAAAACACTAACCAGAAAAAATATATGCACCCCTATGTTCACAGCAGTGTTATTTACAATAACTAAGATCTGGAAACAGCCCAAGTGTTCATCAATAGATGAGTGGATAAAAAAGCTGTGGTACATTTACACAATGGAATATTATGCAGCTGTAAAAAAGAAGGATCTCTTACCCTTTGAGACAGCATGGAGGGACCTGAAGATGATTATGTTAAGTAAATTAAGCCAGTCAGAGAAAGACAAGTACCACATGATCTCACTTATATGTGGAATCTAATGAACAAAATAAACTGATTAATAAAATAGAAGAGGCATGAATACAAGAAACAGACTGATGGACCTCGGAGGGAAGGGGGCAGGAAGAGATTAACCAAAGAACTTATATTTATATATTAATTACCCAAGAACATAGACAATAGGGTGGTGAAGGCCTGGGGTGGAGTGGAAACTGGGTGGAGGGGGGCAATGGGGGAAAAGAGAGGGGACATGTGTAATACTTTCAAAAATAAAGTTTTTTTAAAGAACAATAAAAATAACATAAAATCCAGCCCCCAAAAACATGATGCCTGGGGAGAGCCATTGCAAGGTTAGCTTCTACTTACACCATCTTCTGGAGGTGACAGGTGACACGGGTTATCTGATCACAAAGAATCCTCACAGAGGAGTGACTTAGGAAGCTATGATTCACATCCAGAAAGCTCAGGTTCTTGTTTGAACTAAGCACAGAGCAGAGATCTGTCCAGAGACACAGGGCATGATGGTCATGCTTGGACCTAGGAGAGAGTGACAGAAAAAAGCACCTATTAAAAGAGCATATGGGGCCCTGGCCGGTTTGGCTCAGCGGTTAGAGCATCGGCCTGCGGTACAGAGAGACCCGGGTTCAGTTCCCGCTAAGGGCATGTACCTCGGTTGCAGTTTGTCCCCGGCCCTGGTTGGTCGTGCGGGTGGCAGCCACTCGATGTGTCCCTTCACGTCGATGTTTCTCTCTCTCTCTCCCTCTCTCTCCCTCCTGCTCTATCTGAACAAAAAATGGAAAAATGTCCTCGGGTGAGGAGAAAAAAAAAAAAGAGCATATGGGCCTGGCCAGTGTGGCTCAGTGGATTGAGCATTGTCCCATGGACTGAGAGGTCCCAGTTCTATTTCTGGTCAGGGCACATGCCCAAATTGCGGGATCCATTCCCAGTATGGGGCATGAGGAGACAGCCCATGGATGTATCTCTTTTACACTGATATTTCTATCTCTCCCTTCCTCTCTCTATGAAATAAATAAATAAATAAAAACATTTTTTAAATAAATATAAAATGCATATGGAATGCAGACTGGTGCAGCCACTGTGGAAAACAGTATTGAGTTTGCTCAAAAAATTAAAAATGAAACTGCCATTTGACCCAGCAATCCCACTTCTGGGAATATATTCTAAAACCCCTGAAATGCCAATCAGAAAGATTGTATGCATCCCTATGTTCATAGCAGCACTATTTACAATAGCCAATACATGTAAATAGCTCAAGTGCCCATCAGTAGATGAATGGATAAAAAAGCTGTGGTACATGTACAAAAGAGAATACTATACAGCTGTATAAAAGAAAGACCTCTTACCCTTTGAGACAGCATGGAGAGACCTGGAGAGTGTTATGCTAAGTTAAAAAAAAAAAAGCCAATCAGACAAAAACAAATATCACATGATCTCACTTATTTGTGGAAGAAGATAAAATGAACAACAAAATAATTCCCAAGGAATGGAAGCATGGAACAGACTGATAGATCTCAGAGATGGTGGGCAGGAATGAGAAGAGATAAACCAAAGAACTTACATACTTATATGCAAAGCCCATGGACACAGACAGTAGTGTGGTAAAGGCCTGGGGTGGGCTGAGGATGGGAAGAGGGGTATAAAGAGGGGGTAGGAATGAGGGACATCTGTAATACTGTCAAGAATAAAAAATATATTTTTAAGTACTTATGGGACCCAGCTAGTGTGGCTCAGTGGTTGAGCATTGACCCATGCAGCAAGAGGTCGCTGGTTCGATTCTCAGTCAGGATATATGCCCAGGTTCTAGGCCAGATCCCCAGTGCAGGGTATGCATCAGGCAGCCAGTGGATGTTCTCTCTCATCGATGTTTCTATCTCTTTCTCCTTCTCCCTTTCTCTCTCTCTAAAATCCATAAAGAAAAAATAAAAATGTTTTAAGTACTTATGGGGCCCTGGATGAATAGCTTGAATGCTTAAAGCATCCCAATACACCAAGGTTTCAGGTTCGATCCCTGGTCAGAATACGGAGTACAAGGGGGAAGTGAGAGGGAAATAATAGACATCTGTAAAAATGTCAACAACAAAAAATAAACTTAAAAAATTAAAACAATGAAAAATATGCCCCCCCCCAAAAAAAGAATCAACCAATAAGTGCATAAGTGGAAAAACAAACTGATGTTTCTCTCTCAAAATCCATCAATAAATTTGTGTTAAAGTACATATGGGGAAAGTAATAAGAATCAATGGTTGTCCTGCAGAGGACAAACCAAATGAAAAAGGGACCTACAGAGTGGGAGAAGATATTCTCAAATCATAGATCTGATAAGGAGTAGATATTAAAAATATATAAAGAACTCATACAGCTCAATAGAAAAAACTCCAATTATAAAAAGGGCAGAGGACCTCAATAGACTTTCCAAATATGATATACAGGTGGCTGACAGGTACATGAAAATGTGGTCGATGTCACTAATCATTAGAGAGGTGTAAATTAAAGCCACAATGAGATATCACCTCACACCTGCCAGAATGGCTGCCATCAACAAACCCTCAAACAACAAGTACTGGTGAGGGTGTGGAGAAAAGGAGACTCTAGTGCACTGTTGACAGGAATGCTTTGGTGTGGCCACCGTGGAAAACACTATGGAGCTTCCCTAAAAATTAAAAATAGAGCTACCACCCAGGCCAGTTTGGCTCAGCGGTTACAGCATCAGCCCTCAGACTCAAAGGACGAGGGTTCAATTCTCAGTCAAGCGCACATACCTGGGTTGCAGGTTCAATCCCCAGCCCCATTTGGGGTCATTCAGGAGGCAACCAATTCATGAGAGCTCTCTGCCCCTCTGCCCCTCTGCCTCACTCCCTTCCAGTCTATCTAAAAATCAATAGAAAAATATCCTCCAGTGAGGATTAACAAAAAAAATAGAGCTGCCACATGACCCAGATATTCCACTCTTGGGTATATATCCTAAGAAAACAAAAATCACTGTCTCAATAAGATAGCTATCTCCCGTCTTGGCTGGTTTGGATTAGCGTTTAGAGCATCAGCCTGTGGACCACTGAGTTATGGGTTCAATTCCGGTCAAGGGCACGTACCTCAGTTGCAGTTTGTCCCCAGCCCTGGTTGGGGTTGTGCAGGAGTCAACCTGTCAATGTGTCCCTCTCACATCGATGTTTCTCTCTCTCTCTCTCACTTCCTCTCTCTCCCTCCCACTCTATCTGAAAAAAGGTGGAAAAATGTCCTCAGGTAAGGTTGAAAAAAACAAAAACATACACATATAAGAGGCCGAGAGTGTCTTGGGACATCCTGAATCTCTTCCCCACATGAAAACTGTGACCCAGAAATGGACAAAGACTGGACTTTAGGTGGTGAGCACACAGTGGTGTATATAGATGTCGTATCATAAAATGATCCGCCTGAAGTTTATGCAGTGTTAAGAATTAATGGTAACCAAAAAATTAAACGTTCCAAAGCCCTTATTCCTGATGTAAACATCATGGGATCCACCTTGAGTGGTGGTGATCCGGCGGGAAGAGATTCCAACAGGAAGAAAATACTGCCCTTGAGCCTCAGGGGGCCGGACACTGTCCTCCCCCAGGAGCATGGATGAGGCTCAAGGCGGGAAAAGGAGTCGAGCAGGGGAGGAGAGTTCTTACCTCTCCACCCACGTGTCTGGTTCCGAGGCACCCTCGTTCTCCAGGAAAACCCCCTTCTCCACCCGCAGGGACACTCTCCGCAAGTCCCCACAGTGCTTGAAGCAGAAGGCGGACTGCGCCAGGTCCACCGGGCTCTGCAGGTGCAGGGACACCTCCCGGACGTGCCCCGTGGCCTCCTTCACCAGCGACTCCTCCTGGGACTCGTAGAGACAGGACACCGCCTCCTTCACGTCTGTCCTGCAGGAGAAGGGCCCGTGCCCACCGGACAGGCCTTTCAGGAGTTCCTGCCTGAGCCCCAGGGACACGCGGACGCCGAACGTGGCCTCCAGCTCCCGGGCTCGCTCCTCGTTGGCGAGGCCGAACAAGAAGTGGCCCACGGGCGTCAGGTCGGGGTTCTTCAGCCTCTCCTCCTTGGAGAGCAGCGCCTGCACGTCCTCAGTGTCCCCCCTGCCGCCGTCCCCGGCTGCCCGCTCCCCGCTGTCCAGCGCGTAGAACACGGCGGCCAGAAACTGCTGGACGCTGAGGTGCAGGAAGACATAGCAGCCCTCACAGTCGGTGTCCACCTGCAGGAGGTTCTTGTCCAGGAAAGGGCGCAGGTCAGACTCCTGGACCCCGACTCTCCCGAGGTCTCCTCGGTCGAACGCGGACGTCTGCGTCCAGACGCCCTCGGCGGCCAGGACACACAGGGCCCGCAGGGGCGCGGGGAGGTGCTGCGGGGCGCTGCGCCCGGGCGCCGGCGGGAACTGGCCGCACAGGAAACGCAGGAACAGGGAGGTGGCGGTCCGGCAGGTCAGCGCGGGGTCCGCCCCCTCGTCCATCCGCAGTTTCAGACACGTGCACACGACCCAGCACACGGCGGGGGCCGAGCCCAGGCGGAGCAAGGCCGGGTTGCCCCGCATCGCCTCGAAAGCGCGCAGGGCTTGGTCTTCCTCCTCGAAGTGCTGCAGGAAATACTCCCTCCTGTCCTGCTCCAACAGCCCCTCCACCTCGATGAACACGGGCTGATCCACCAACAGGCGGAGCTGTCTCAGGGCGCCCGGGCGCGTGGTGACCAGCAACGTGGCCTTGGGCAACAGCTTTCTCATCAGCAAACTGCCCAGCAGGACGGGCGCCGGCTTCTGCTGCTCCCAGTCGCCACAGATGTCGTGGAGGAGTGACCCCGAGGGGACTCTCAGCTCATCGAAGCCGTCGATGACAAACAGGAGTTTCTGCTCTTGGGCTAGGACCTCGGGCCCGGCTTGCTGCACCTCTGGGCGCTGCTTAGAGATCAGCTCTGCAAAAGTGCACGGCCCCTGGCGACGGAGTTCCTTGCAGCTGAGATAGAGAGTGGAACTGAGTGACTCCGAGCGCGTGTCCTGGGTCCAGTCCAGCATCCACTTCTTGGCCAGCGTGGTTTTCCCCACGCCCGCCGGGCCATGCACGACCACCGTCAGGGGCCTTAGCTGTGTGAGTATTTGAGCTTTCGAGAAGGATGTGAATTTCTGGCTTCCCTGGGTGACTGTACAGTGAAAGTCATCCGCTTCTCCACACCCAAATGTACGCTTCCAGATAGAATAAAATTTCTCCATGGTGTTGCTCTGTTATTTTTCCCCTGTAACGATAGGCAATGGGAGAAAGTTGGGGCGCTAGTCCTATTTAACCAGAAAGTTAACTTTTACAAGGACCAGAAATGAGGAATACCAGCAAGAAACAGAGTATCTCGTAATGTACCGCACAGCCAACGTATGACTATACGATCATCTGTGAGACAGTATTTACCCACCTGGCTTTTGTAACCTCCAAGACCCCTTCTGTCTTGCTCAGCTTTGGGTTATCAATTCTCTGCACTCATGTGCCCTTTGTAAAATATCCGTGGATGTCAGCTTGACCCACAGGGTTATTTGTACTTCCTAGATTAGACACTGTCACAGACAGAGAAAACTTAACATATTCTTTTTTTTTTTTTAATCCTCACCCAAGGATATTTTCCCATTTATTCTCAGACAGAGAGGGAGGGAGGGAGGGAGGGAGGGAGGGAAGGAGGGGGAGAGGGAGAGAGAGAAAGAGAGAGAGAGAAATTTCTGTGTGAGAGAGACATGTCCATTGGTTGCCTCCCACACAAACTTGCAGAACCCAAGATTGTGCTTGAATGTCCGTGTCATGGATGATTTTGTCCTGATAGTGTCCTTTTCAATGCCGTCTTCAATCAGCATGCATTTGGTTTTGTGAGGACATAAAAAGGAGACTGGGTCACCCAGGTCACAGAGAGTCATTCAAAGGGGCACACAGCCCTGGTCAGTGTGGCTCAATGGTTAGAGTGTAGGCCAGTGCAACAAAGGGTTTGGGGTTTGCATCCTGGTCAAGGGCATGTACCTGAGTTACAGGTTCCATCCCAGGCCTCAGTCAAGGAGCATGCAGGAGGCAACCAATTTATGTGTCTCTCTCCCTCTCCCTCCCTCCCTTCCATTCTCTCTATAAATCAATGGGGAAACATTCTTGAATGAGGATTAACAAAAAAGGGGGGGTGACACTGGTGGGGGTGAGCCAAATAAAATTAGGTGAAGGGATTAAACAAAGAACATGTTTGTGGCCCAGCCAATGTGGCTCTGTGGTTGAGCATCAACCGGTGCACCAAGAGGTCACTGGTTTGATTCCCTGTCAGGGCACATGCCCAGGTTATAGGCCTGATCCCCAGGGGGAGGCATGCAAGAGGCAACCAATTGATGTTGTCTCTCATTGATGTTTCTCTCTCTCTCTCTCTCCCTCTCTTTCTCTCTCCCCCCTTCCTCTCTCTCTAAAATCAATAAAGAAAACAAATTTTATTTTTAAAAAAAGAACATATTTGTGTAACCCATAGACCCAAACAATAGTGTGGTGATGGCCAAGGCAAGGGGGTTCAGGGGCTGGCTGAAGGTGGGCAAAGGGGGGAGAATGGGGTACATCGGCAATAGTGTCAGCAATAAAAAAATGTTTAAATTAAATTTTTAAAAAGCTAAGCAATCCAGAGGGGTATATTACTGTTAAGTAAATACCTACTTTTTTTCAGGATTCACTCGTTTCCCACTAATGCCCTTTTCTGTTATAGTAGCCCATTCACATTACATTTCCTCAAATGGGTATTTTTGTCAGTCTCGATGAGCAAGTTATAGGTCATAAACGCAAACCTATAGTGCTATACTAATAAAATATCTATTTTATCTATTTTTCATCATGAAAAAGAGGGGGGACAGCATATCTGCCCCTGTTTTTGGTTCAGATTGAAGGAAGCAATTTTGGGGAGGCAGTGGGGTTAGGAGGTAGAAGCCAGACTTGAGTGGCCCAGGACACACAGGTGCAGCAAGGATCACAGAATCCCAAGTGGGAGAGCAAGAACCTAGGGTCCTGGCCACGAGAGCCCACAGGGTAGGCAGAGGGGTAAAGTTTGGCAAACAGACCACCACAAGGAGAAAATAAGGTCTGATGGCCTTTCCTATAAGACAATGAGGAGGACTACAGTGCGATACCACCTCACACCTGTCAGAATGGCCTCCATCAACAAATCATCAAACAACAAGTGTTGGCGAGGGTGTGGAGAAAAGGGGACTCTAGTACACTGTTGGTGGCAATGCAGACTGGTGCAGCCACTATGGAAAACACTATGGTGTTACTCAAAAAATTAAAAATGGGACCAGCCGGTGTGGCTCAGTGGTTGAGCAGCGACCCATGCACCAAGAGGTCACCAGTTTGATTCCCGGTCAAGGCATATGCCCAGGTTGTGGGCCAAATCCCCCGTGGAGGGCATGCAGGAGGCAGCCATTTGATGTTCTTTCTCATAGATGTTTCTATCTCTCTCTCCTTTCCTCTCTCTCTCTAAAAGCAATAAGGAAAAAAAAACTTTAATAATAAATCAATTTTTTTAAAAAAATTAAAAATGGATCTGCCATTTGACCCAGGGATCCCACTTCCAGGAATAAAATAAATCCTAAGAAGCCTGAAACACCAATCAGGCAGAATATCGGCACCCCTATGTTCACAGCAGCACTATTTACAATAGCTAAGATCTGGAAGAGATTCACCAAAGAACTTACATACATCTATGCAAAAGTAATGGATACAGCCCTGGCCAGTTTGGCTCAGTGGTTAGAGCATCGGCCTGCGGTCTGGAAAGACCCGGGTTCGGTTCCCGCTAAGGGCACGTACTTCGGTTGCAGTTTGTCCCCGGCCCTGGTTGGTCGTGCGGGTGGCAGCCACTCGATGTGTCCCTTCACGTCGATGTTTATCTCTCTCTCTCCTTTCTCTCTCTCCCTCCCACTCTATCTGTACAAAATATGGAAAAATATCTTCTGGTGAGAATTAAAAAAAAAAAAAAAGTAATGGATACAAACAATAGTATGGAGAAGGCTTGGGTTGGGGCAGGGCTGGGAGGAGGGGGTAAATTGGGTACACCTCTAATACTGTCAAGTGAGGAGGGAAGAGGCTGGTACCTACAGACAGAACACACAGGAAACCTGTGTGAAGCTGGCAGGCAGGTGAACAGAAAGTCTCCAGTGGGTCTATCACGAGCACTGCTTACAGATGAACAATTTGGTCTTCGCGTGGCTCGGAGGAGACCAGCCAGAATGGAAATTAACACCAACTGAGATCTGCTCACTTTCTAGCCAGGGAGCCCCAGACAGCAGACCCCCAGCAGATATTAGAGCCACATGGGGCCAGGCAGCATAAGCTCTCCGCACCCCCCAGGGGATGGCCCCAACTCCCAAAGGGAGAAATGGGGTGCAGTCAGAGGAGGAAACAAGAAAGGAATTTCTGGTTCCGTCCAAACGTGTAAGAAGGAATGTGCGCAGTTGAGAACCCCGGCAGACCCTGGTCCAATAACTGTGGGTAATAAATTATTTCAATCCAGTTTTCACGGATCCCCCCTGTTCATCCAGCTGCCCCGCGTGGAACCACGTGATGCCAAATGGCAGGAGCCCCTTCCCTGAGTGTCGACGCCTGGTGATCGCAGCAGTTCATCCTTCTCTCTACCCCGTCCATTGTGAAACAGTTCCCACCCAGAACACATGGGTGGGGGAGAAAAGGAAGTTAGAGATGTGGGTACATTTTGGGGCAGATAAGACTTGAGAGGGAGCCTTGGATAATGAATAACAAGCAGTGAGTTGATGAGGACGGACAAGTCCCATGGGGAGCCAGGTGAATAGCTTTGTCCTGGGAGGGGATGAAGGGCGGTTCTCTATTTGAATAGGTCTGAGTGATGAAGAATGAACACCAGAGTTGATAAACCCAGGAGCTGAGCAGAATGAGCCTGAGAGGTTCTATCATCGTGGTGAAATAAAAATAAAGGCATCTGGGCACTGGGCCGGGTAGTTCAGTTAGTTAGAGCACCCTACTGATATGCCAAGATTGCGGTTTCAGCATGGTCAGGGTACACATATGAGTCAACCAATAAATGCATAAATTAAGTCAATCAATGAATGCATAAATTAAGTCAACCAATGAATGCATAAATTAAGTCAACCAATGAATGCATAAATTAAGTCAACCAATAATGCATAAGTAAGTCAACCAATGATACATAAGTAAGTCAAGCAATGATGCATAAGTAAGTCAAGCAATGATGCATAAATTAAGTCAACCAATGATGCATAAATGAGTCAACCAATGAATGCATAAATGAGTCAACCAATGAATGCATAAATGAGTCAACCAATGAATGCATAAATAAGTCAACCAATGAATGCATAAATGAGTCAACCAATGAATGCATAAATAAGTCAACCAATGAATGCATAAATAAGTAACCAATAAGTAAATAAATAGCAAAATAAAGGCACCTGCTATACTGTACACCTGAAACGAGTATAAAATAATATTGAATATCAACTGTAATAGAAGAATAAAGTTGATCATGCTATGCCGCAAAAAAATTATTATTTTCTTTTTTTTAGTAAAGGCACTTGCTGGGAGGAAGTGCTGTGCCACAGCCTAGAAGGACAGAATTGTTACAGACTCCACACATGTCACTAGCAACAATGCCTGCATATTCTGTCGCCACAGGTATTTGTGGGGGGAGGAGGGTTGTAAATTCCATGACATCACTCTCCTGGAACCTGCATTTTTGCAACACTTGCATCTATCTTTTGGGACCTAGCCATGATACCATCCAATCTACAGATGAAAGACTAAAAACAGCCCGAGTGCCCATCAGTAGAGGAGTGGATAAAAAGCTGTGGTACCTTTACACAATGGAATACTATGCAGCTGTAAAGGAGGAGGAGGAGAAGGAGGAGAAGGAGAAGGAGGAGGAGGAGGAGGAGGAGGAGGAGGAGGAGGAGGAGGAGGAAGAGGAGAAAATCTTACCCTTTGCAACAGCATGGATGGATCTGGACAGCATTATGCTAAGTGAAATAAGCCAGTCAGAGAAAGAAATACCACATGATCTCACTTACAGGTGGAATCTAATGAACAAAATAAACTGAAGAACAAAATAGAACCAGATGCATGGATACATGAAATAAACTAACAGATCTTAGAGGGGAGGGGGAAATGGATGCAAGAAGGTGAAGTGATTAGCTAAAGAACATATATGTGTAGCACATGGACACAGACAACAGTGTGGTGATGGTCAGAGGGAAAGGGGGGTAGGGGTTGGGTGGATGTGGGTAAAGAAAGGGGAATGAGGACATCTGTAGTAGTGTCAATAACTTTTTTTTTTTTAAGACTGAAACTCAAAGTCATGCCCAGCTTGAAATGACAGTGGGGAGGCAAAGACACCACAGATGGGCAAGAGGGGTCTCTTTGGGGGCCACAGAAATGTTTTGAAATCGGATTGTGGCACTCCTACCAAAAATCATGGCACACTTCCAGCAAGTGGATTTGACGAGATGGGAATATACCTCAGTGGAACACTTAAAATAACATCAGAAGAAAAAGATTGCATGTGGCATCACAGGCAGCTGCCCCTCAGAGTCTGTTTCCTCATCCTTATAAAAGGAGGTTCAGCCTGAAGACCTCAGAAAATCATCTAAAAAAACCTCACAGCAAACATTAAAGTTTGCAACGTTATGTGTGGTAGAGACTAAACGGCTGTTTACTAAAAAGAGGAAACAGAGAAAGAGGTACAAGCACTGGTACTCACCTCCCTGAGGCTAGGGCTTACTTCCAGCCTGAGGGCATTTCATGCAAAGGAAATCTCCAATAAGAGGAGTTCTTCTGCTAACCCAAGCTCTGTGATTGGCCGATGGGACCCTGGTGGGAGCACATCTCCCTGCCCAGGGTGGAATAACCCCACTAATGATAATCAATGGATGTTCCTTGATCTTTACATTGAGGCTCACATTGAAATGACCTGGGCCCTATTTTCGGTGATTTTAATTGAATTGGTCTGAGGTGGGCTTTAGAGAACCAGGAGCCTTTAGAAGCTCCCCTGGTGATTCTAATGCTCAATCTTGCTTCTAGACCATCTAGGGTTTTCAGACTCAACACTACTGACCTTTGGAGATGCATGATTTTTTGCTTTGGGGTGGGGGTAGAGCTGTCTCGACTACAGTAGTAGAGTGTTTATCAGCATCCCTGGCCTCCTCCCACTAGGTGTCAGTAGCATTTGCAGTTGTGATGGTCGAAAATGTTTCCACAGCCCAAGTGTCCATCAATAGATGAGTGGATAAAACAGCTGTGGTACATTTACACAATGAAGCACTATGCAGCTGTAAAAAAAGAAAGATCTCGTATCCTTTGAGACAACATGAAGGGACCTGGAGAGTATTGTGCTAAGTGAAATAAGGCAATCAGAGAAACAGATATAGCACACGATCTCACTGATTTGTGGAATATAATGAATAAAATAAACTGATGAACAAAATAGACCCAGAGACATAGAAGTAAGGTTCAGACTGACAAACGTCAGAGGAGGAGGATGGGTGGGAGGAAAGAGATAAATCAAAGAACTTATATGCATGTATGCATAACCAATGAACATAGACAGCAATGCTGGCAGTGTGGGGCGGGATCAGGAGGAGGGTGTCAATGGGGGGAAAAGAGAAACATCTGTAACAAAAATAAATTAATTAAAAAATAAAAATTAAATTAAGAATTTTTTTAATGTTTCCAAACATTGTCAGATGTCCCCTGGGGGACCAACTGGACCCCAGTTGAGACCCACTGACGTGATTGCAACTAAGTGCAAGTATATTGAAATGCACACACATTCTATGTTAAATAAAATGTACATATCACAACAAACTCAGCTGTTCTACAGGTGATGTATGAATGTGTGTTGACATTTAAATGTGACAAATTTAAATGAGACATTTCAATGTGTATTAATCTAAAATATTTTTTATTTTATTTTATTTTAATCCCCACCCAAAGATATTTTTCTCTTTATCATCATATAGAGTTGGAGGGAGGAAGAGAAAGAGAAACATCGATGTGAGAGAGACACATCAACTGGTTGCCTCCCACACGACCCTGACCAGGGCCAGGGACAAACTGCAACCAAGGTACGTGCTCTTGACTGGAGTCGAATCTTCAACTCATTGGTCCACAGGCTGACGCTCTAACCACTGAGAAAAACCGGCCAGGGCTAAATTATTTTATATTATTTCTTATGTGTATTGATTTTGACTCCTTTTGCCCATTTGGAAGCCAATTTTTTCCTGGAAAAATTGAATATTCTCTAGGCTCTATTACTGGAAATTAGACTGTGGCTACATAAAATGAATGAAAGAATTCAACAAATCATTTGTTTGTTTGTTTGTTTGTTTGTTTGTTTGGTTGGTTGGTTGGTTGGTTGGTTGGTTGGTTGGTTGGTTATTTATTGGAGGGTCTTGGAAATTTTCTCTCCAAGATACTTGCTTCTCTCCAGGATTATGGCTCTAAGACAGAGAGAGAGCGCTTGTTAGACCTATCTAACTTTAGCATTTAGGGGGGAAAGTAGGGAGAAGAAGTAGAGAAATACCTCACACCTGTCAGAATGGCCGCCATCAACAAATCATCAAACAACAAGTGTTGGCAAGGGTGTGGAGAAAAGGGGACTCTAGTACACTGCTGGTGGGAATGCAGACTGGTGCAGCCACTATGGAAAACATTATGGTGTTACCTCAAAAAATTAAAAATTGAATTGACATTTGACCCAGTGATCCCACTTTTAGGAATATACCCTAAGAAGCCTGAAACACCAATCAGAAAGACTATATGTACCTCCATGTTTGTAGCAGCACTATTTATAATAGCTAAGATCTGGAAACGGCCTGAATGTCCATCAGTAGACGAATGGATAAAAAAGCTGTGGTCCATGTACACAATGGAGTACTATGCAGCTGTAAGAAAAAAAGATCTCTTATCATTTGAGATGACATGGAAGGATCTGGAGACTATGATGCTAAGTGAAACAAGCCAAGCAGAGAAAGACAACTATCACATGATCTCATTTATTTGTGGAATATAATAAACATAACAGTCTGAGGAATTGGGTAGACCCAGACACGTGGAAGTAGGGTACAGACTGACAACCCTCAGAAGAGGGGGTGGTGGTGGGAAGAAAGAGATAAACCACAGAACTTATATGCATGTACACATAATGGATGGACACAAACAACAAAGCCAGGTATGGGGTGGGGGGATGGGGAGGAGGGTGTCAATGGGGAAAAAAAGGAGAAACATCTGTAACAAAAATAAATTAATAAAAAATGTTTTTAAATCAATAAAAACATTTTAAAAAGGAGAAGGAAGCTTGAACTGTTAGCTAAGCACAATAACTAACTAGCTAGTTAACTAAATAAATCAGCACATGCACAAATTAAACTATACAGTTGTTTATTCACACACACACACACACACACTTATTTCAGAAAACCAACTGGAAGGCGAAATAATCACATATATATTTATGGACTCATATGTTCCATGAGCCAGTTATTCCATTATTCCATTTAATCATCCTATGACATCTGTGTGCTCATAACATCCCCCATTTATAATGGAAGAAGTTGAGACTAAAAGATTGAGTGACACCCCACCCCCACCCCAAGTTCACA